GTTGTCTGCTTAATCATACTTGTATTGCTTGTAACGCAAACGCTATAATAAGAAGACGTTGAAAAAATGGTTATTTATTAGAACACACTTAAAATCTCTTATCAGCTCGAATTTTAGGAGTCTGTGGAGAGAGCTTTTTTTCTTCCTATGTAGATAACTTTGTCTTCATAAAAAAGCCTTAATAGTATGATATGAAAAAGAAACACAGTGAAACTTTAGTTTATGGCGATAGAGATAATAAATTCGAGTATTTTCGGTATGCATTCACCTTGAGAATTCTGAGTAACACAAAAATGCATTAGCTTATTGATCGAAGACGTCTTTCATGCTCTTATATGTTGTTGATTGTGCATTCGATTCTAATACAAAGAATGAATAATAACTTCATCATTAAATTCTTACGGTGTACACCAATTTATCGACAAAATAGACGGTAGCGCTTGATATAGAAGTGGTTACATGAAGAATAAACTAGAATGAAGAACAAAGAAATTTCGATTCTGTTACTTGACTGGATGAATAAATAGATAGCACTTAAGTTTTTGTCATTATTTCAATCGAATAAACAGAAATGGCATTGACCATGAGAATGCCCGAACCAACTCCACGACGGTAATTTTAAATTTTCTTAATTAGAGATGCACACATCTTTGATTTCTCGAAATTTATATATTTAGATCACTTGCTGCTCGTCGTCGAACGACTAAACTTCTAACGTTTGACGAAGATCTGAATGAAAAAGAAAATTCACTCAATGAAAGTCTTGCAGGACGACGACAATCACGTCTATTCAACACTTCAATCAATGTTGAAGTTGTCAACGATGAACCAGCTCAAACACCAACGCAGTTAGTTGATCTATACCAGAAAACGATTGAATTAGCTGCACAAGGCAAAATCAATATTAAAAATGCCTTTAGCATCCCACTTGTCGAACGTTTACCACAAGTTTTGAACGTAATTGCACTCGATGATAAAGATAATCATCATCTAGGACCGAATTTTGTGAAAGCTGGTTCAGTGATTGATACAAGGTAGGTGATTCAAATCGAAGATCCTTCTTGAACTGATCGCTCTTTGATTTAGTGCTAAAATATACGGTTTTCGTGTGGATGCTTTACATACTGAAACACAAAAGTTAAGTGGCAACATTCTAAATAATGACGAAGAAAAAGCTGCAGAGAAAGAAACTTCAGAAGAGAATCGAATTGAGGGTGATCATGAAAACATTGATCCAGAACAAATTGAATCGAAAAAAGCAGCACGTCGCGTGAAAGCTAAAGCAACGTCATTCGTTGCTGCTGATTTATCAAAAATAACTCTTGAACATGAATTCGAATTTCGTCCATTACAACCACCCAATATGTGTCAATGGCGTGGTGGAATAGGCAAAGATTCCATCTATGCTGAAATGGTATCAAGTACAATGTATTCATCAAGTGATTATCCACTTGTTGATGGTTTTACTGATGTCAATCATCGACCAGAAGAACAACACAGCAAGATCAACAGTATTCTTGATCATACAGTGACGAAAACGATTGATTTAACAGCATTACGTGATGTTATCAAAACAAATGAATTACATGATCATATTCTCGGTAAGAATGTCATTCTAGCATATTTTCACGATTTAGCTTTTCTTTTTCTCAAAATATCTTCTAGGTAGTCAAACATTACGTGAGTTTTCGTTTAATGAAACTCCTAGCAATTCCTTTATTGATACAATTCATGAAAGTTGTCTTGCACAACTTGACGAGAGTAACGACAAATCATATTCAAACAATGACGATGCAGATAATGATGACGCTTACAATCATGATGAATTAGTTCATGCTGCTATTGAAGATCTCAATGATGATCCATCGCATTCCAATGAAATATTTAAAAATGCTCTAAATGAATTAAGCAATCCAGATCCATCAAGTATGATGTCCAATCTGGGAAATTACCAATCACAACAGTCGGTTGAAGTAAGTTCTTGGATATATGGACCATTTCATCTTATTTGATTATAGTTGAGCCTTCCGGCTGCTGAGGAAATTCTCTCCGCTTCATTCATGAGTACAGTTTCGTTTGTTGACCAAATGCCACACTTACTCCATGCCAAAGAAGTTCAATCTGAATACTCGTATTTCGATGCAGCTAAGTTAAGATTGTTTGCTGGGCCAAATATATGGAAATACACAAATTTACTCCATGCAACAGCAAAACCCTCAGCAGCCAATGCTTCAACCATTCAACAACAACAAGCACCTGCATCTCGTCATAGACTTCATAGTGAGGGAGTTAATAATGGAATCGTTGGTCCTAAACGAAGTGTTCGTGTTGATATATTTAATCCTATGTCCCTCGATCAAATTATGTTGGGTGCGAGCAGTGGACGAGACAAGAAAGCTATTGGGATATCTCAAAGTGCGCTGGTATTACGACTGAGAGAAAAAAGTCTTAATCAAATGCAATTAGCAAGAAAATTACGTCCTCTAACTGATTTGACAAATTCGCACAATTTTCCACAATTAAACTTTGAACAATTACATTTGATCAATCAACGTCGAGAACAATTACAAGATCATTTCCAACAGCACTATCAACAAGATGATTGCGATGATCATGATTTTCCTGCTGCAATCGAACATCATGATGCTGATGAAGGTTTTGAACGTTTATTCAATTGTAATCACACTAACTGCTATATTCTTTTGACTTTTCAGACGCTCCACTAGCAGAAATGCACTGCGATTTTTCTCGTCCTGTACATTATGAAAAAATTGAATTTGCCAAAGGTTCAACATCGGTTAACGCTAAAATTTTAAAACGTCAAATGATCGAAGAATTCACACGACAAAAGGTCGAACATCAACGTACTTTATCACTTGATTCGAGCACTGCTAGTCAACAATTATCGTTTCTCAATACTACTCAAACTGCAATTGAATTTTCCATTCTATGCGAAAATCTTGCTGATCATGGTCATTTATCGGTTCAAACCGATTTAGCGTCAGCATTCTATTGTATGCTAATCAACTGTAATGAAAATAAGTTATACATGAAGAGTAATTCAAAACGGGATGACTTATTTATCCAAGAATGTCCATTTGCAGATAAACGTGATCTTTCCACATTATCTTATTCTTATTCCAGTCATTCAAATCTTTCTACAAATTCATCAATGGTCCATTAGTACAAGGTTCGTTTTCTTTACTATGTATGTGTTTATGCAATATGATGTTTTCTTTTTCTTTTTGATTGATTTAAATAATAAAATGTATTTTAAAAATGAAAGAATGAAGAACAATTGTACATTCACATGAACACAGCACTCAAATAATTAGAGATGTTTCATACAGATCGATAAAATAGTGAAGAGCACTAGAGTAAAATAAGACGGATACAGGATGATTGCATGATTGTACATGTTGGCAATTGTTTGACCGTAGCCTAGTAATGATCGGCCAATGATGTAGACTGCATAACTTGGAGGGTAGACATTGAATGATTGAACCATACTATTAACAGACTGATCACCACAGCAAGTTACCACATAACCTAGCAGAAGAAATGTAAAAATATCTAGCGTAGAGAAGATCAATTAAGCTACTTTGATAAGATGATGATGGACCCAAACCTATGAGAAAAACATGAAAGAATTTTAATAGTTGAGTAGCAGAAGACGAAGGCGACATGCATGAAGTAACAGGTGTCATTCACTACGTACCTGAAGGTTGTGCATTGGGTAATGGTTGAATAGTAATACGGTCACCTGTCATAGCCGTACATGATTGCGGTCCAGTAACATAATTAGCACCGCTGTAAAATCCACCTGAGCCTGCATAATAACTTTGACCGCCAACATTGCCAATAGTCGATCCAGTAATGGGTACAACATTGAGTTGTGGATTGAACACACCATTAACACTATGATTCCAAACACCTTCAGGTGCTACTTGGCTAGGTACACCCAACGATTGATAATCGAAATGACCTGCACCGGCATAAGTACCATTATAGCCGGGAAAATATTCCGAATTGGGATTAGCATAGCCACTCATCACATAACCTGGATTGTATAATTGATTGTATGACCAAAAGGGTGACGGCGCAGCAGGATATCCTCCATAAACTTGTTGTTGAGGTTGAAAATAACCTGGACCAAGATCTGGTGCTCGGAAGGTTTGTCCTCCCGTAGAAATTGTTCCATTTCTCCAGGTATCAGCCCAATCTTGCCGTTTTCGACGAGATCGTTTTATAGCTTGATACAATTGTGATTGTGATCGTGATTGCGATTGAGCTGCAGGCATTTGACTACGACTAAAATAACCACCAGAACGACGCAAGACGTTTGTCATTGGATCCAGAAGAACATCAGAACATATATGACGAAGAACAAACTGTAAAAGATTGCAAAACAATGAACAAGAGCTTACAGATGAAACCTCCGTAGTTTATATACCTGTCGGATTCGATTAAAGTCAGCTGTAACACCAATTGATTGTAGGGCAGTGTTAGTTGGAATGAAGAGAGTATATGGTCGTCCAGATTGTTTCAGTTGTTCGATGACGCCTGTTTGCTGCATTAGTTGCGTAAATGAACTATATTTTCAACGAGCAGGGTGCTGGTACAAATCAAATAGATCGATCTTACCTTGCACCTTGCATTGTGGAAAGCACAGTATCTATTGGAATAACTGTTCCAGATAGAATACCTCGAATAACGTGCATGACACCATTTTTAATAGGTATATTCGATTCAGAATTGAGTATTGCAGCTGTGAACGGGAGAGAATTTTCCGGGCGACCAATTAATGTTACCACTGTAGATAGCAAAGTTAAACAGTATTATGCAAAATTTATGATCACTAGTGTAGATATACATACCATTTCCGTTCGGTCCACTTGAAATTTGTGCTTGAATGGAGAATGTTGGATCCATGGTAGGATATATTTGTCCATCTTGAAAAATGGCTGAAGAAGGAAATGTTGGGATTTGATAATAACTTGGATTTTGTGTTGGATTGAGCGGCTGCTGTTGCTGCTGAACTATTGGTAATTGTTGCTGTTGTTGAACTAATGGTATTTGTTGCTGTTGTTGAATTATTGGTAATTGTTGTTGTTGTTGAACTAATGGTATCTGTTGCTGTTGTTGAACTAGTGGCATTTGTTGCTGTTGTTGAAAATTAATATTAGGCGGTATATTCAATTGTCGTCGACGACGGCGACGTCGTGGCACATTTTTATTAGGGGCCGAATTTGATCTTTGAAATATTGGTCCCTGAAAGCCAGTTTGAACGAAAGGTGGTTGTTGTTGCTGCTGCTGAATAAATGTATTGGATCCCATCAAGAATTGGTCAGTATACACAGGAAAACGTAAAATATGTCGACGCAAATTCTAAACATACAACATACGAAGAAGACTCGAAATACGAATATCAATCATCGTTATTCTATTTGAATTACCTTGCTCAATTCTTGCGAGTTTCCTAATTGTTGAACAGCTATTTGTTGTGGAATAAGCACAGTGATGTTCAACAAATTTTGTGGATTGAATATATTTGGGCCCGTATTGCCTAAACCAGCCGTGTTACCTTGTAATAAATTCACTAATTCTGTATCACCCGATTGTTGAATCAAAGCCATAAAATATCTATGAATAGTCAATTACATTTGTATCCCATTCTATACCGACAAACTTACTGATAACTTCGAGCAAGTTCATCAGCAGCTGATCGAGCAGGGCCACTAAGAATTGCAGTAACTGGATAGACGACGCCATTACCATAGATTTTGATATCTTCTGGCCGTGACGTTACAATATGCGCAATTTGTCGATTTGAAACGACATCAACTACAAATTCAAATCATACGATATATCAACCCATATCAGTCGAATAAATCATTTTCACCTTGAAATGCCGCTTCCGATTGTGCAGTTTTGCGAAATGTAACCCATTTACCAATACTCAATGTACTTATTTGTTTACTTGCATCCATTACACTTGGATATAGTACAAGTGGAACAATATGTGATTTGATAAACTATAAAATACACTCGTGAACTAGATAGAATCTATAGAGTAGTTTCACCTACATCATTTATATCGTTTATATTTTCTACAGTCAATGGTTCAAATAGAAAACTTAAACCAGTACCGTAACTGGCAAATGCCTGATCATTTGGTAGAAACCAAGTTTGCTGATTTACTGAACGTAATTCCGAACGAAAATATTCACTACGATCAGCCAGTAATCGAAGACGCCTTTAGATAGAACAGCCAGACAAATTTGCCTGTGAATCGTGAAACGAAAGATCTTACGAAAACTGTGGATCTTCAAGAGCATCGTAAGCAGTTTTGAATTGTGTTTGAGCGCGTCTTTCAGGAGGCCATAGAATATTATCAATCACATTGATCACACCACGACTCATCGTGCGTGACTGTAATACGAAAGCATTGTTAATTGTTGGACGCTGAAATGATTTTCAGGAGAACATGGAATAAACTTGTCTTCGAAAACTTACTGGTATTCCGATTCCAGGATAATTGATTGGTCCAAAATATTGTTGTTGTTGTTGTTGCGGCTGCTGAAAATTAGGGTTGAAGTTCGAAGTAGGCGGATTAGCATTTTGAAGAAATTGTGTGTTGACATTTGGATTGAACACATTCGTGTAATAATTGGTCAAATTTGGTGGAAATAAATTCGGATTTCCAGATGATGCACTGCCTGAAAAATTTCGCATCGACGTATCTTCATTGACATCAAAGCATATCTACCTTGCGCAACAACATAGGTTTGGCTTTGTTGATTTGGATTATAATTGTTTGTGTTGACTTAAAAGAGAAAGAGATAAAATAGTTTTGCAGGTATATTGACCCGTTTATCGAATATACCGAGATATGGATTGAGTGGTAGAGAACTTTGAAAAGTATTCGTTATGTTGATTGCTGCCCCTGGAGATCCAGGGCCTCCACCTTGACCATAACCTGTGTTATCATAACTTACATTTATATATGGACCTGTACCACCATAAAAGCCCACGCCGTAGAAGACCTGTACGAAAGGACTTATAGAGATGCATTTGAAAAATTCGCAGTTTTTCTAAACCTGAAAGGGAGCAGCCAACGTTAGTAGACTATTCTGTGGTCGAGCATCCGTCATTTGTCGTGGACTGGCCTGATTGAACTTTTCTTGTGCCAGATTATAGAGTGCTTGATCATCATAGCGGCCAGGTACAATATGATACTTCCAAAGCAGATTAGGGTCTTCATTTCGACGATTGATGCGAGCCATCGCATCATTACTCGGAGCAAATATAGTAAACTCTCCTGTGATCATGGGCTGTTGAGATTGATAGATATCTTGTAATAACCCTTGCAGATCTGGTTGGCGAATTAGTTGTTGATAAAACTACGTAGAAAGATTTCCTTATAGAAGAGAAACAGATCTATTACAACAGTCAAAACTTACTAAACTTAAATCAGGCATAGCAGAAATATCTTCAAGTGGACTAGCATAACATTGATCAACAATAACCAATAATATACAAAGATGTATAAGGTTCATCTTAATTTTAATGGATCAACTTCAATCTTTATTCTCAATAATGTAAACCGTATGCATATAGATGTTGTATTATTCTTTTTTCCTTCGTTACTTATGTCCTATTCTCTTGCTCTCTCATGCGCTCTCTCTCTCTCGTTCTTTCTTTAGACTTTTTGTTGCTTTCAAATCAAGAATAACGAGGGATAGATAGGATATGCACGTACATAAACCATGTTCTGTAATAATGTAGAACAGAACAAAGTAGGCCTTAACGTACTAGACAGAGAGAAAGAAAAATTTCTATGGAGTAGACATACAACTGATGGTCAGCGATTGTCCCAACACATTTGACCGTATGATGACGGTGAACTTTATTGTAAATTTTTTACTTGTCCTGTACATTGACATGAAAGTTCACATGAAACAATAGACACATACCTAGACTGTCATTGTTGTCTGAACGTGAATATCTGGTGCAACTTTCTCCTTGTAAAAAAACGATTAGATTAAAATAATACATAACATATACCATCAATGTTCTTGTTGTTTTTATGGTTTTTTCGTCCATTGGGCTAGCTTGTAGGATCAATGGAGAAAAAAGATGAACAATTAAAACGTCTTCTCATCGACATTGATAAAGAGAATGTTGTATAATGCCGATGTTGTCATCAAGTGTCTGAGAACTAAATTAGATCGTGTCTTATCTACGTATTCTCATTGCATATCAAGGTAATTACCAATTGTCAACAAAATCATCGATCAGCAAACTATCTTTTATTCTTTTCATCACAAAGCAAACCAAGAATTCTAATCGACACAATAGGTTCGAAGAAGATCTTCATTAGTTTCTCTCTTTCGTAAGACTTTTATCTGTTCATGTTCATCTAACGCATATTCAGCAGGACGTGGCCGCATATTGTAATTCGAGCTCATACTTGAGCAATAAGCACCAACATCGAATACTGCTAGAAAATCTCCGCGTTCCAATGCTTTTGGTAGATAGCGTTGTTTACCAAGAAAATCTCCACTTTCGCAAACAGGTCCTACGATATCATATAGAGTATGTTCATCTGTTGTCGATGAAACAATCGTATCAATATGATGATAGGCTTGATATAATGCAGGCCGAATGCATTCAGTCATTGAAGCATCAACAACTAATTGTCGTATTGAGCCTGTTTGTTTTTGTCCTAAGACACGTGTTATTAATACGCAGGCATCTGCAATTAAACTTCGACCAGGTTCAACGATTAACTCGACTAACTTAGCAATGGGTTGTAATGGTGCTTTTATTGCTTGAATATATTCTTCAATCGTAGGAATTGCAATTGGCTCTTCGGGTTGTTCCCTTGTACGATTTGCGTATCGTTTATAATCAATATTTAATCCACCACCGATATTAAGAAACCGAAGATGAGGAAAACGTTTTGTATCAAACAGTGCCACTAATTTGTCTACGCATGTGACAATGACCTGTGTATTCGATATGGTCGAGCCTAGATGACAATGAAAACCGTACAAACGAATCCATTTATCTTGATTTTCCTCGATCTTTGTAAATAGCGGCTCCAATTCATCGATGCTCGTTCCAAATTTACTCGTTTTCGATGCAGTTGTGTTATAAGCATGAACATGCGAATCGCTTAGATCAGGATTTACACGTATAAGCACATTGGCAATCTTATTTAATTTTCTTGCGTATTGAAAGATAACTTCAAGATCGAACAAACTATCTACATTGAGTAAAACACCACTATCAACAGCCATTTGAATACTTTCATCGGTTTTTCCATTACCATTATAGATAATTGACGATGGCTACAAGAAATAAACACAAACCTATCGCCAAACTAATCGTTCGAATTTACTTCAAATCCACTGGACAATGCTAACTGCATTTCTCCGCCACTCACTGTAGTTAACATCACCCGAGATGATTTCAGGATTGTCAATAAGTGAGGATTGTAGTTCGCTTTCATCGAATACGATAGTCGAGTACGTATTGGTGCGAGCTCGGCAAGTGCATGCTGATAAGTGCGAATATTATAAGAAAATTGGTTTAAACTATAGAGAACAAATGGAGTCGGTGGTGAAGATAAACGTTCAATGATTTGCTTAATAGATGTTTCATCCATGTACAAATGATCATCATGGTTTTTGTTATAATAAAATCCGTGTTTTACTGTCATTTTCAAACAAGAGAATGCTTTCTTATCTTTTTTTTGACCTTAAGAAAAACAATTTGTTTTTTTATGAAGTAAAATGGAAAGACGAATTAAGTAAAAGGCAAATATTTATTTTCTTCCTTCTTTATGTTCGTAATAGATAATTTTCTACTGCTAGAACATCATCACATGTATTCTGGTATCGTTGCAATAAGATTCGTATTTCGACCCCTGTCGAGTTCATTGTTTATTTCGAATAAAAATAAATAAAAACAAATTTCATGCCCGAATTCATTTGAAAACATATTAGTTCTCCTAGGCTGCTCGAATGTAATTAGCAGGCACATATCCTTTATCTTTAGTTTCGTTAATCTTTTCCACAAACCACCACTCTTCGTTCCCGTCCCCATCAAAGCGTTGTAACATTCTCAATCGTTCGCCAATACACAGAGAAAGAACGCCATGACTTGTACTATTAAAATCATATAGGGCGATATAGATCTAAATATACCAATAGATGAGACCGAAAACAGTTTTTTTTGCACAAGTTTTACTTGTTCATCTGTATTCGTTTGATCGGTAGTCGAATCTTCTAAATCAATACTAGCATAGTGATGACAATCACTAGTGATCACTGAAGTTGAGAATCGAGCTTGAACTTGATTCAGATAAAGTTGTTCGTTGACTTCTTCGACGTAATGCGCAGAATTGATTAAACATGGTTCAGAACCTGTATTATCTCTCGATAGGGAACTTCGAGGTTGAATAGTTTTTGAACGAATGTTCGTACGAGGTAAGGGTAAAGGAGCTCGCGTAGCTGTTCGCAGATCATGACGAACTGGTATTGGCGGTGGAATCGAACGAGAATCTGGTTGAGCATTTGTTACTAACGGGACGAGAGCACATCGTGGTAGATAACCTTGCAGAACTAAACAACAGGATCAGAATATTCTTTTTTTTCCTAATAATGATTCATACTTCCATTATCGACAAGCCACGGCTGATCTTCATCATACCGTTGAACAACACTAACCAGATCACCCTTTTAAATGAACGTTTTCATATTTAGTATTCACCATACGCGATAGCCTATTTCGTTCAATTAACTGACATACTTACATTTTGAACGGTGAATTCAGTTCGCGACATCGTTGATTGATTATTTGAACATCCAGTATAACCTTGAATGACAACGAATAGATCTTTTTCTGGGTATCGATTCTTCATGGATTGTCGAATCTCGTCCGTTTGTATGTACGTTTCCTATTGAATAGAAGAATGAAAGTGTCATCTGTACTAACCGTTGACGACAACAAACTTTATCACAATTGTACGTATTAGCCACTCCGGATCCGACTCTCGACGTTGATAAACCTTTTACTCGCTCGGAGAAATTCTTCGCCGTAATCGTCAATTGAAAAATCTGTTCACCAACAGCATCATTCTTAGTTAAATATCGTTCTAAGATGTTCTGCCAAGTTAAATGTTCCGAAGTCACTAACGGAACCGTCTAATGACAAACCAAAGAGTTTTCGCGAAACATACTTTTCTTTCAAATCTGCGAACCTTATTAAGAACAAGTTGAATATTTGTATTCATATGTTGCATTAAACGATAATATGCTCGAATGTATTCCTTTGTAGCGAGTGATAATATTTCACAACTCGTTTCGTATAGGATAGGTAGTTCTTCAAGCAATTGATTATTCAATGTTTCGTAGGTTTGTTTGGAAAGATCGAGTACTTGTTTTGCCTAAGGATACCTGGCAAATCAGAATCTTTTATTACTAAAATTTCAACTCCTTCTACTTGTTTCAATTGTTGGTCTTTGACTTTCTCGTAAGCTGATTGAGCACTATCGTAATCTAATAATTTGTTATTTCGTTTAGCAATTAGATTCGATGGCGGAATAAATAATTTCAATAACATATCAATTGAATTTATAACGTACAATTCAATGTGATTCCGCTAGAGCAAAGTAACATGGAAGATGAAAGAAGTAAACAAAATGACTTACAAAAGCATGGAAAATATTTTCAAGCAAGTAGCGTTTTGAACGAATGAATTGTTGGAAAAGATCCGGTATTTTATCATCTAATAATTCTTCGAGATCTTCAGCAACATCCACTTGCGTCAAAATACTTTCCTAGAAGGACATGGGTTCAGTTTTTTGTCATTTCTTGACAAGCTCGGACAATATGATATTACCCTTAAAGCTTCGATATCGATATGAACATTTCGTAGGAATACTTTCAGAAACTTTTCCATTGCACGAAAACGCTGTTCTTGATAATTAAAATGTTCGTCAACTGTATGCGCCGATAGACCAAAGGCATTGGATAAACGCATACTGATCCTTGCCGATTTCTTTTTCATTGTTTGGATATTAAGTTTGTAGAACTTATTTGTAGATATTTCCTCTTTATCACGCTGTTGATATCTATTAGTAACCATCGTAGACGATTCACTTGATTGCTGTCGTTGATCTCGTTGAAGAAAATTTGATTTAGTCGTTGAAGAGCGCTTTGGTAGTGGTGGCATAGATGATGAACGTCGAAATATACTGATATGATATGGTTCAATGTTATCTTCCGTTGCATTGGCATTTCGTGTACTCCGTACAAGTATAAAACGTGTTCGTTTTGTCAAGGACATTGGCAATAGTTAGATGATGAAAGAAAATCGAACACTTTTTTCTCTTCGTATGATGAAATTGAAGATACACGCGTCTCAATTCATACATATATATATATATATATATGTATATGAGCGATTATGCAAAAAATGTTTGTACATTTCTCTTTCTCTCGTCACTTCTTTTCTTTTTGCGTTGTTCTTGTATCTACTCATACTTGCCAGTAGGAAAAAAAACGAAAAGTTCCTTTCTTTTGCACTCGTCCCTGGCTCTCCTTACTCGTTGCCTTTTCGCAAGGCCATTTCACTACACAAAGTAAACACTATGTCACAATGATTCGGGGTCAATAGGAATATGCATGAGCAAGCATACCTAGATATATTGTTACATTCGTATTCGCATGCAAAATAACATTTCAAATTGAAGTGCAAAATCAAAGTTTTCTCCTATTATCTTCGGATGGATATAAAGAAAGAAATCCAAGAACGTTTGTCGCTTGATGCGAATGATAACGATGATGCAATCATTCTCTTGATTCGAAGGTCTTGTAGTATATATATTGATGATGAAAGATTCAATAGGATTTTAAAATGATCGAAGACATGAATGTAAACATTGTTGCAACGATCAGCAGCCCAACATAGTTATTATTCTTTATTTTTAGAGTAGTGAGTACTTATTTCTGGTCCTATGAACAATAATCTTCGCTGTATTATGATTTGCTTATATAGAGAACGTAAGAAACATTCCTCTCCGTATTACGAAAAGCAATCATTGCATACATGTATGTAATCATAAATTGAACTCTAATCCTATATATTTAAAAGTAGAAAGAAAACAATGTATCTGTAGTAATATCAAGTCGTGCCAATATGTGTTCATTTACTTTTGATAGTGTGTTAGTCAAACAGAACGAAAGAAAAAGAACAAAATAATGAAGAAATTTCATCAAACTTTTGTGAACTAATCGAAATCGTACAATGATGACGTGTATGTATTTCATTACATCATACCTTCAACTTCATCACACTACAGATGAGATTGATCTCGATTCGAAGAATTCAGCCCAAAGTGCATGACATTCACTGAAGAACATATTATTTTGTACACTGCGGATTTTTTTTTTGAATATTTTATTTCTTTTTGTATTCAAATTGGAAAGGGATATGTGGTGTTCGTTTGTAGGAGGCAAGAAATACGTTTATTTCTAGAAATGAAATGGATTTGGACAAGATTATCACTTTCCTAACTATGGAGAATGGTTGACAATTATCTGTGCTAGCAAGAGTAGAAGAATGTCACATTAACCGGCACGTTTTTTAAGTAATTGCCAACGCATAGCAAAGAATGGAACAGCCACAGCCGATGAGATATAGATAATTAAAGTTGCTGCTAGTCCCCATTTGCTGGAAGCTGAAAAGAAAGACATACAAGTTCGATTCCTTGAAATACTCCATTCATGTCAGTTGTCTTACTGTTGAATGGCACATTCGAGCCAGGTAAAGCTTCTTGGTCCCAATTATCCTGTAAACGTCTACGTAGACTTAAGCTAAATTGTCTCCGACCGACTGTTTTCGGCACTAAAGTAAGACATGGTCGTAATGATGCCATGAATGAAAGATTTCAAAGAAAACAAATCTAGAACATATCGCATGAAATATTTTCTTTTGAAGATATACAGACAAGTATTTTTGTACAGATACAGAGAAAAAAACGTTCTATTGAACAAACAAATGTATAGGAATTATCATCAATTCATCTGAGAAGGTGGTGGTGGTTGTTGTTGTTGTTGCTGCTGCTGTTGAGGAGGAGGTTGAAGAGGAACTTGTTGCTGAGGAGGTGGTGGACCATAATCGTAACCTTGTGGAGGTGGAGCATAGTACTGCTGTTGTGGTGGCCCAGGCACACCTGACGGATCGTATGGAGGGTTCTGTGGATAGCCATATTGCTGAGATGGGTGTGGAGGTGCACCACCATTCCAACTACCAGGAGGAGCTCCACCATAGCCGTAATTAACGCCGTTAACGTACATCTGTGGTGGTGGTCCTTGCTGCTGCTGCTGCTGTTGTTGTTGAGGAGGGCCACGCATTTGAGGCGGTGGTCCTTGTTGTTGAGGAACAACACCCATGGGCTGCTGTTGCTGTGGTGGAACCATACCCATTTGTTGTTGTTGTTGTTGAGGTGGCATTTGATTCGGTGGCCATTGTTGTTGTTGCGGTTGTTGAGGCCATTGTGCATTAGGTGGATATGGATTATAATACCGAGGATCTAAATCCAAAGACAGTATTCAATCTCTATCTTCATTAACTATATATATATTCTAACGCAGAAAGAAAAGAACTTATCGAATTCTTACCATAAGCAGTAGGCTGCCATTGCTGTTGTTGCGGCGGTAAAGGTTGTTGTTGTTGTTGCCATTGAACATTTGGTGGATATTGTCCAGGACGTTGATTCATTGGTGGAGGCGGACGATATTGTTGAGCTTGTTGTGGATGACCATAGCCTGGTGCTGGAGGATAACCACCACCTTGATGCATCATAGGATAACCTTGGTGCGGAGGAACCTGTGGTGGCGGCTGTTGTTGTTGTTGCTGCTGTTGCTGTTGAGGAGGCAACATTTGTTGTTGTTGTTGTGGCGGCGGTGGCTGTGGCTGCTGCTGTTGTTGCTGCTGCTGCTGCGGTGGCGGTGGTGGTACTTGCTGCATAACAGGTGCCGGTTGTGATGGTGGTAGTTGAGTTTGTACAGGTGGTTGAGACGATGGCATTGGAGGTGGAACATGTTGACTTTGGGGTAATGGCGGCGGCACGTGGGACGTGGGAGGCATTGCGGTTGGTATATGTTGTTGCTGTTGTTGTTGAACAGGCATTGGGGGAGGCACAGATTGCATCGGAGTAGGCATAGGCTGAGGTGGTAATTGAGGTTGTACAGGTTGCGATGCTGGCATTTGACTTGGAATTGGTGGTTGAGTTGGTACTGGTTGTACTGGAGGTGGTGTCGGTTGTTGTTGTTGTTGAGGAACCTCAGCAGTCGATACTGGTTCAACTTTAGTTGGTGCTGGTACAGGGGTGGTTGGAGGTTGAACGACCGCAGTTGTTGATGCAGGTTGCGAAGGGAGAGGTGGTGGTGGAGTTGCAGCAGCTTGCTGTTGTTGTAAGAGTAATTGTTTTTCTTTTTGCAGTTTTTCCATTGCTTCGTATTTTTGTAAGATTTCGTTGATTTTCTCACGACTCAAGTTGGTCGATGATGCTTCAGCATATTCATTATGAAATTTCTCATTAGCGTCTAAAAATTTTCGCTTCTTGTCCAGATGTTTTTCTTCTAATTCCTTCAAATCCTTTTCGAATGTTTCACGATGTGTTTTGAGTGCATCGACTTGACGACGCAACGTTAATATACGATCAACACTAATATTTGATCGTAAATCAGGTATACAAACTTCATTAAAAATCTCATATAATAAACGTTGATTACGTTGAAAACGTGCAGCGGCTATATGACGCGACGAAAAATATATATCATCACCTTCATCGTCATCTGTTGATGGTTCAATCGTGAAGGATGAACTATTCATACCATCCATCGGACCACTGTGTCCTGGCATACCTGAACGAAGATATGGCGTTTCATGATCATCATGTCCACGAATACCTTTGTCTAGAATTTATGCGGAAATTTGTTTTTCTTTGATAAGTAGAAAAAAAACGAATTGATTTTCTTACCATGCACACTACGTGCCATAGGCCATGGTTTGCGACTATAACGATTGGGATATGGCATCGAATTAGATTTATCCATTGGAACCATGCCAACACCGCCTGGTTTCATTGCACCCATCGAGCCAGCTGAGCGCATCGATGAAGGTGATGACGAGAGACCCATGTTCGTACCCATAGATGTATTTCCTGGGCTAGTACCAGGCATTATACCGTTGCTCATTCGCTTAGATGATGCGGAGGCTGTTGCTGCTCCTGATAATGGTGGCCGAGGATTAAATCCAGGATGACCATGTGAAGAGACGAGAAATGGTCCTGAATTTTGAGACATCTCACAGTCGTTTTCTAGATAATGATGTTCACTACAGTACAAAATCTAAAGGAGTTGAACAAAAAAAAACAAATAAGACATTCTTCATCAGTTCATCGCTAATGTCAATGTCTAGAAAAACGTTGTAGCTGACGACAAAGCCATTTTTTCTTTGCTCGTCGAGAACAGCCAATGACAATGTTGTTTATCAGTAGATGTCGTACTCATCCAACGAGTGCCTTTTTCCTTCTTACTATTTTTCTATAATTGCTTATTGAAGCGCGTGTTGTAACCACTGAATAGTGATGGTTTATTCATATGAACAACGTTTCGTCTAATCCGTTTTAATAGTTTGAACTAGGTTCGGATCGGATCGAGTCGAGTCGACTCGGCTCGTTTCATATCCATCCGTTTCTCGCTCTTCTCTTTCATTCACTGAACTAGCTATTACTATATCAAATAAGTCACAATAATGTAATAGAAAAAAATCCGGCAACGAACGACCGAGCGAGCATAAGACGAGAAGCAGTGTTGACGTTTCTCGACGTCTACACATAGGCAAAGACAAGAGAGAAGAAAAAAAAGCTAGCAAAGAAATAGAGCTAAGTAAGTCTCCTTCATATCTGTTAAGAACACAATGTAATCCTTTTTTGCTTGACATCCGTTTTCTTAATTCGAAAGTAAACTAATTATTTAGCACTTGTATTAATACTGACATGGCAAAGATTTTCGAACATGAAAGGTATCATGTCAAGAGATTGATTGCTTGTGCTATTCTTCATCGTCAGCGATGATAGATATATGATCGGCTGATGATATTATGTTAATATTTTTGTCCAGTAAATAGACAGCTTAATTGTAAACAGAAAATTCTCAAGAGATTTCGAGGTTTAGTTGGTCACTTGTGACCAATTTCTTTTATCTTATTGTGTTTTGCTGACGTCGATAAATAACAATCAGCAGAATAGAGAAGAAAAGAACATGATGATTAATCGAATAATTGACTGTTCATTTTGTTCCGTTTGTTTTTTTTTCTGTTGACTTTAGCTGCCTGCGTGTGTGTGTGTGAGATTGCTCGAGAACGCTCGCGCGATGATCATCAATAATGGTGACATAGCGAACAAGTAAAATGCTGACAATGCTAAAGGCAAGAGTTGCATGTTTATGATTGATTGATTGATAAATCGTCTCGTGCGACGATGAAGAAATCAAAAGATAGTAAACTATCAAGGCCATAACAGACTTCGCTAAGCACTCGGTGTGTAGCAGCCAAGTCGTACATGTACATTCATTCACCCATGCAGTCATCTGGAATGGCATAAAAGCAAAACAGAACCGATAGAGAACAGACCAATGATGGAGATTCATATAATGACATCCAAGTACCAGTAGATCATCCAACTGTTTGCAGAAAGCGTAGTGTCATTCTTGTTCTCGCTGTTGTTGTTATTCTCAGATGGTATAGTGTTTGTTATCGTTGTTATCATGGCTGTCACTACTGTTTCGAGGGCACATCAATACTCAGCTTAACTAAAGCACTTTCGTCACATAATTAAAACACCAATCAAGATATTTTCTGTCTAAATATATTATGTCGCGGCCATCATCTTTAAAGTCGTTTATAATCATTTTCTTGTTCTTTCGTTGACGAAAACAAAGTTTTTTTCTTCTTCCAAGAACCGAAAGGAGAAAGAAAGGCTGAAGTTATTCTACTAGCGAACAGATGGTAATGCTTCGTTTCTTTTGACTTTTCTTGTTAACATATATTTTCATGCAATGTAATCATTCAATGATTTTGATTCTTAATGATAGTTATAATTATCTTATGGAGTTCGTGTCGATATTATTTTCAACATTCTCTTAAATCTAATGTCACAATGTCGATTCAATAATCAAAAATATCCTTAAGGACAACAAGGCATTATTGTCACTCGACTTTAGTTGATGGTGAGTGTGTGGAATAAAGGAGAAAGGAACACACACACAAACACCAAAAAATACCGAATGAATAGAAGGAAAAATAAGGAAAAGAACAAGAAAAATCAGTTCGTTTGCTTGTTGTTCTGGTTGAGCATTCGCCGACGAGAAACAAAGAAAGAAAGTTGGCACATGTGTTTTGAAGGTTGTCGTGCTTGACGAGATGTCGGCAATGTTAGTCGTCGCAGTAACGACAGTACGGGAAAAATGAGGCTACCGGAAAACAATCATAATGGAGCACAACACACACAGAGAACGTTCTCTTTAGTTCTACTTCATAGCGTTTGTTCGACGCACGATATATACATGCACATGCATACACAAGCGCAACGTTGATTGAGATATCTTGTCGTTTTTCTTCTATTTACAACGAGTTCTTTGCCGCTCTCTCTCTGTCTCTCTTCCTCTCTCACGTCAGCTCCTCTTCTCCTTAGCGTTCTCTATCTCGCTTCGTCTTCGTTTTTCCTTCCATGTATGTCGTTGCTAGCAGTCGTTATGTCTCTTCGAATTGACACTCACCAGGGTGGTGGCAGAATTCCTCGTCTTTCCATTCTTCTTCTTCTTTTTTCCTTCTTCGGTTTGCTTTTTCTTCCTTATTCTATTGTCCGTCTACTACCATCCAATTCACACGATACAAATACGAACGTGTATGCACATACACCGACTCTTTTTTTGTCGCTTTTTTCTCTTTTTAAGATACATTCATATTATGTTGATCGACGACGAACATCTGTTCTCTCATGGAATTTAATGTTTTGTAATAACAATCAAATCAACGGCACACATATAATACATTGTTACAAATCAAGTCGTGAGGTGCGCATAGGCGCACAGTAGGTTTGTATTGTTAATTAGCACTTGTCAGCGTTTTGCCATGATCCCAATGATCGTTCGGAGCGTTTTTTCCTTGTTAGTTTCTGTAGGATGAGTATTAGTCTCTCGTCAAAAACTGTTCGGCATCAACAAAGAAGAAGAAGAAGGGAAGAAAAAAGACGTCTCTAGTTAGAAGGAAAGCAAAAAAATAGAAAAGACTTTGATAAGAAAATGAGATGATGAAGACACATACAGACATCAATATAATGAACATATGTTTAATGTAAACAGGAAAAATTAGATCTTATTATACATGTATAAGATTTATATCAATCTACATTAATCTAAAAGCATCTCATATACCACCATATTGTCTAATCGCGTCGATTCAGTCATATTGGTTTCGTAATTGAAACATTTTTTGCTTTACTGGTTGTTATTAACATTGCTATAAAACAAAATAATGACAAAGTAAAGCAATAAAAGGTTTCCCATCCAATACACTCATGTATATATAGATAGATAGATATACACATATCTTTTTATTATTCAGGATAAACAAGCAGCTACAGACATAAAATGGCCAGTGTAGCTGCATGGCTTCCATTCGCTCGTGCGGCAGCTATTGGTTGGGTACCATTAGCAAAAAATCCATTGCCACCACCTCCATTTCGTGTTCCAACAAGTGGTGCATCGCCAAGTGGCAACGATCGTCGTTGCGATGAGAAAATCATTATTAATGTTAGTGGTCGTCGATTTGAATGTTGGCGTTCAACATTAGAAAAATATCCTGATTCATTACTAGGCTCGAACGAAAAGGAATTCTTCTACGATGAAGACACACGTGAATATTTCTTCGATCGCGATCCTGACGTCTTTCGAGTTATTTTAAATTTCTACCGCACAGGCAAATTACATTACCCAAAGCATGAATGCATTGCAGCATATGATGAGGAATTAGCATTCTTCGGGATCTTACCTGATATTATTGGTGATTGTTGCTACGAAGATTATCGAGATCGGAAACGCGAAAACAACGAAAGATTGATTGATGATCGTTTACACGAAGATGAAGACAAAGCGCAACCTAAACCTCAATCGATACGTGAAACAATGTGGCGTGCATTTGAAAATCCTCAAGTGTCAACGATGGCATCTGTCTTTTATTATGTGACAGGATTTTTCATTGCCGTCAGTGTTATTGCTAATGTCTTAGATACAGTTTCGTGTGGAACTGATCCTGAGACAGGTTACGCGAGAACATGTGGAGAACGTTTCTCACGGCAATTCTTCTGTCTCGACACGGCTTGTGTTATGATATTTACCGTTGAATATTTTCTTCGACTTTACGCTGCACCGGATCGATTGAAATTTATTCGATCTGTTATGGTAAACTGATTAGAAGTTATTTGGTAAAAATCTGTTTCCTTTTTTTTCTCCCCTATTTAGTCTGTTATTGATGTGGTTGCAATTATGCCGTATTATATTGGATTATTCATGCATCAGAAAGGCGAAGTCAGCGGCGCATTTGTTACTCTTCGTGTATTTCGTGTATTTCGTATCTTTAAATTTTCTCGACATAGCCAAGGTTTGAGAGTATTAGGTTATACATTAAAAAGTTGTGCTAGTGAACTTGGCTTTCTCCTATTTTCATTGACGATGGCCATTATCATATTTGCTACTGTTATGTATTATGCGGAAAAAAGTGTTGTGCATACGAAATTTACATCGATACCAGCTGCATTTTGGTATACTATTGTTACAATGACAACACTTGGGTAAGAACAAATATGAAGATAATTATAGAAGTGCATAAGAAGATTCCCAGGGATACATGATCTTATTCGCTGACTATGCACGACATACGATGAGATACGTAGATGAGAAAAAGGTCATATATAAACAGAGAAAAGTACAGAATCAGAAATGATTGATTCTATTACGGAGTTGAACAGGTAGATAAATAAGTCTGGACCAAGAAAAAACAACAAAATATACTATTATGATTACTTTTTTGACATTCATTAATAATGTCAAAGTCTATCAAGGAAGATTTATTCAGCTCCCTAGACTTCTGTACATGGGAAAATCATTGATCCGAATCATTCAGAATACATGATTTGCAACAAGTCAATCTATAATTACATTCATCAGCTCTCATCACTTGTTACATTTTGCGTTCGACGAGGAAAACAGGAAAGGTGCGAGAACATACATCTCACATGTTTTCTTACATTATTGTTACACAATTCATATTCGGTCGATATGCGATCGTACTTCGATCCCACTCGTATCTTATTAGATTACATGGCATAGACAGATTCGATTGAGGCTGGATAGTTTCATCGACTAATTAAAAAATAACAATTCTCAAATAAATGTAAACAAAACTGATCCTGTCAACGCCTCGGGCTAGAATTACGTGTGAACTAAATAATTTAATATATATATATCTATATGTATACAGATTGTAATGTTTATTCTATTATATATGATATACTACAGAGAATAACAGCTTTATCCCTATTGAGAATTGAGCATGTGGAAAATATAATTGATCCGATTTTTTGTTGTAAAGAACGTAATTAATTGTTTTTTGCCACATTGAGTTGAATATGTTTGAAATTATATCGTGTGCGATTTGGAGAAAAAAGATTCTACAGCTATGCAAATTGATTCATTTTTCTCACTATGTGTTTAGGTACGGTGATATAGTACCCAAAACTTGGTAAGTCGACATATAGTCTCATGATAGAGAGACAATTAATCACGGCTCATGTGTTTAGGGCGGGTAAAATTGTCGGCGGTGTTTGCAGTTTGAGCGGTGTCTTGGTAATCGCTCTTCCTGTTCCTGTTATTGTATCGAATTTCAGTAGAATTTACCATCAAAGTCAGCGAGCAGATAAAATGAAAGCACAACGAAAAGCACGTCAAACACGAATACGCTTAGCACGTAATGCAACCAGTAATGCATTTGTTGCGGCCAAACGACGTCATGAACAGTATCTTGACGATCCTGATATACCTGTTGATAAAAATATTGTTAATCCATTCGAATTGCAGCATCATCATTTACTACGTTGTTTAGAATTAACTACTGTATGAAAGCAAAAAGCACATCCTATCAACCTTCTATGTTATCGTTTCTTTTTTCAGGATCGCGAATTTGTTGAAATGGGTCCAGATGCATTAATGGGTGGTGGCGCGAATGCTGTTGCTGGTGCGCATCCAACAACTGGCATCGCTCGACTAGGTTCCCCTGCTAGACAATTCATTCTAAATCGTCGAAAATGGTGGTGTTGCGGAGTACGACGAAGAAAGAAGAGCACGATAAAAAATAACGCGGTACGTTTTTTTCCCCGATACAATTGAGATTTTTCAAAATTCTTTACACGTCAGGATATTTAAATGTACTTTGACTCAACGAGACCAGAGTGGCGTTTGATTGAGCTCGAATTAACTTATTTCTAAATATATCGATGTTCTTTGTGTACGCTGATAAGCTACGACGAATTATTGAATGAAAGAATCGATCTTTGTTTGATTCTATTATGTCGCGTTTTCTATTATCTGGTTGAATAGGAACTCATGACCTGGATTAAAGATTGATTGCTTTTTTTTCTTTTGTTACACTCATAAAGGTGATCTCTATCATTTGAACAATAATTCTTGTTCAATCAATGCCAGTCGACTCGAAAGACGAAAGATAAAATCATCGATTTTCTTTGTAGGATCGTATGAACAATACCAATGCGACGACGAATGAAGAAGAATTAGATGAAGAACTCGGTGATTTTCAATTACCACTTTCCTTAACACCACGTGCATCAGGATCGACTGGTCATATCGTAAATATAAATACAACGAATGTGATACAACATCGCCCATCATCTGCATCGGTACAACACAATGTCGTACTTCATTCCACTATAAGTGAATCATCAACAAATCGCTTCGATTTAAACGTCCCGTTCGACACAGATGATCGAATTTTGGGAAGACGGAAAACGAACAGTTTAACACCTGTACAAGAACAAGGTTCAACAAATGATCTATTAAACGATGATTCACATACTACAACAATACCAACAAGTCACAGTGATATCATACATAGGCCAACAACCGATGACAAACAAACGGTATGACAGTGAATATGACAGTGTTTGCCAATATCCCTGTGTTGCTGTTTGCAATCTTTTCTTTTCTTTGGTTCTCTTCTCGCGTCCTTGAATACATACCGCACATAAATATGCCACATATCTATGCACTCTAGTCACCTGTCTTGCGCGAATCCCTGTGTGTAAATAAGACATTTGTCGGTCTGTCTTTTTTTCTTTCTCTTGAATTGACAATCATCGTCTTACGGAAAGAAATTTCAGCCAAATGCGTTTCTTTCTATTTTATTTTTATGTATTTGTTGTCTTTTAAATTATTATTCTAATTATTATTATTTTCTTCTTTGTTTGTGTACATGTATCTCAAATAATGAGACTGATTTTTCTTTTTCTTTTGTCTTTTTTTTCTTAAAAACAAAATTACAATACAACGAAAATAAGATAAAATGTACTAATTAGTTGAGTAATTAAATACAAACACATTAAGTTTCATTCGGTTTTTACACGTTTCGTGCTCTCTTGATTATCGTCAGTAGTCGAGTTGGATCGTTTTGTCGTTTTGAACATCTCTTCAAGATAAGCCAAACGTTTACTTTGCTCTTTGACTTTGTTCTCCAGATTGATCCATTCTGCTTTCGGACGCGTGATCATATTTTGATTATCATCGTTATCATCGTCCATATCGTCATCAAATGTCAGACCTTTGTTTTTATCTTTGACTAATAAACTATCGATTGTTGTTGGTGAAACAGGCTCTTCGGCTTCAATCAGTTCGCGAGTATCGAGGGGTTCTTCTTCGTCCGCTTCCTTTGCATCGGTCTTCGCTGGATGAGAATAAGTAGCTAAATGAATTGAACTCGTTCGATAGCACTTAGCACCGAATGTACACGGTGGTTTCGTGGTGGATTCCGGTTCTGCCGTTTTTGTAGGCTTAGGAGTGGATGATGGATGCTGAAATTGTTTGAGATGGTCAGCATTTGTTCGATAGCATTTTGCTCCGAATTTACACATCGGTCGAGTGTCACTAGTTTTTGTCGATGATGATGATGATGAAGCTGCTGCTTCTTCATCTTCGTCGTCCGATGTTACGATTTTCTTGCCACTGTTCGCATCACGTGATGGAATAACGGAAAACAAGACGGAGTGTTGTTTCGATAGTTTGGCCGATGGAATGACCTTTTGCTGAATACTCATCGGCTTTTTGGTTTTAGCTGCTTCAAGTACATCGTTCCAGGAGAGATCGGTACGAACACGCAGAAAGGTGGGAAATCGTGGATGACCATTGTTGGATAATTCTTGAAATTTGAATGTAATTACTGAGCCAATTTTCGGCGGTTTTCGCCGTTGATCCATATTAAGTCCACTACCCACATCAAATCGTTTTCCATTAGGTAATTCACATTCCAGAGCACCGGTCATACCAATTAAACTTTTGCTCGGTTTATGACCAATGACGAGTGCTTCTAAAAAAGAATGAATACTTGCTTAAGTAAAAACTATCTTCATCAAAAACTAACATTATTTACCTTCATCATAAAATGTTTTCACTTTAAGTAACGTAGTCGATCGTTTATGTTCATACAGACTACCTGGTTTTCGAAGCATGATACCTTCTCCACCAGCCTTATTGATATCGGCCAAGTACTGTTTCAATTGTGCGATACCTTCACATTTTTTAATACCAACGACTGTCGCATAGCATTTATCGTCATCCTGTGGAATATTTGCTTGTAACCATTTGACCCGATCTTCATATTTCCCTCCGTGAGTTGGAGCATCGAAAATCAAATATGTTAAGAGTTTGTAATCATCAGGCACGACTTTATTCGCTTGTTTTTTCACGATGCTAACACATTTTTGAAACAAACCTCGACCGCACCTGAAAGAACAACAAAACGTAGAACTCCATGGGTGTGAAAAAAGCAGAAATCTACCATATTTCACCATCGAGTGGAACTTTGGGAAGTGCAGCTTTGAAGAAATCAGGTGTATGGAAAAGATTTCCTTGTCGTGAGTAAAAATTCTTGCCATTCCAGTATGCCCTACAAAAGAAAACCTCCGCTGCTTGTACTGTTTTTTTTTCAAATCAATTCTATACCGAACGCCGTCAAGCTTTTCACTCATCCACCAACCCGTTGGATCGACGTCTTCAGTCCATGTTTCAGCAAGGAGAACTTTAGCTGCTTCGCTACACATTGTGGTAAAAATACTGTTCAAGCAAGTGTTTTTTGTGAAAAAACTAACTCACCTTCAATGTATATATAGTTTTTTTAGAGCAACATCAACACGTTCTTGCAATTTTGTGGTGCAAGTACAAACCACAGAACAGAACAAAACGTAAAAAAATCCGCCTACGCAAAATGAGGGAAGAAATGCGCGACGATACCTTGAATTGAGTTCTTCTTATTAATCGACGAAAATTGTATATTGAATGTGCTCACAGTTCATCGTCAATGTCTGATCGACAGCGATCTGCTCATTCATTATTATTTATTAATGAAACAAACCATAATCGAGAACGTACACAGCAATTATCAGGTAAATTATATATCCGATCAACAACGGCATAGAATGACCAGCAATATTATGATTGAATTCAGTCTCATTTGTCTATATACTTAGTAGGCTAGTATTTAATCTCAATTCGATTGCTTCTCTTGTCTGTATACGAGCAAAAAGAGAGAGAGAGAAAAAACCCGAAGAATCATTATTGATGTATTCATCAAGCGAATTGAATATGGATCTGTTACAAGACGAAGGTTCGTTTATGCACTTGCTTTTTTCACATAGTTCTACAGATCACTAGATAAGCTTAGTTTGTCTATTTACTTTGAATAAATCGTTCGCTTTCATTTTCTTTCGAGGATTATTTACTTTTGCGTGATTGTTTGTACAAAAAATGCTTGTCTTTTCAATCAACTTTTCTTCCCTATGGAGGACTTTAAATTAGACATACAAGCATACATAATCAAATCTCTGGATGTTTGTTAAAGTGATTCAAATCGACAGACTAGTTTTGTTTAATAATATACATCAATGTCAATCAGTTCGTGCGTCATCATTCACTTCAGTCAACATTTTTCTCTTGCTTGGTCTTCAGCCTTATTATAAAAGAAAGATAGTTTTTCGAGGTGATCGATTTCAGTCTGAAATATCTGGATGAATTCATCGTTTCGTGTGTACAGAAAGTTAGACATGTCTTATCTATTGACGCTCGACGGAAACAATGTTATGATTAGTGTGTCATTAGTATCAAAACATCGTTTGGTTTATTTATTCAAGATATCAGAAATCTGAGATAGTATTTGCAATCTTAATAGTCCTAAAGATCTGTTAAAGGAAGACAGAAAAAAAGAGAACCGATGACATCAGCTTTTATGATTACAACATGCGTAAATCATATTGAATATAGACATACGAAGAAGAAAAAGATGACTAGATGCATATAGCCGTTATAAAATGTCAAATAAGTAGGCGGTTTCAATTGCAATTTGTTGAAATTATCAAACTAATCGAGTTACAATGAATAACATTAGGTTAACAAACGACATGAAACCTGTTATTTATATGATTTCACCAACGAGTGAATCCTTTGAATGTAAGTAAACGTTAATGATATTCGATATGTGTATACAGACACTAGATTCGACTCATTCGATTGTCTATTCGAGACGAAAAGCATGATTTTCTCCATTCCTGAAACTCCGCGTCATTATGGATCTGAATTTTTCCTTTGTTCAGCTACAAACAAAAGATATGTTCTCGAACGATATCCTTCACGAAAACGTGGCACTGCTGAGTATAATCCATTGTACGATACATTTCAACCATTAACATCACAGTTCAGTTACCAACGACAGCATCGATCAGGGAATATATATGAAAAACCAAACACAATCTATTATGACAACGATCAACGACAACAAGTATTTTCACGATCCAGAAATACGGGTAAGTGCTGAATGATCGATTGTTTGGACTTCTTATGTCTTATGTGCATATCTGGTTTCCTCTTATCGGTAAGTATGTATACAATATAAAATCCACCTTACAGTTAATATACGTCAGTTACTTGACGTCCACACAATCTGACTCGATTTCTACAGAAGATAACGAAGTAGGCGTATGACATTCGATAAAAATATCATTGTTGTTTATCAAAATAACAGGAGTTTTTTTTTTACGGTGAATATTATTAGTCACTAAAACGAATAGATTTTAATGTTTCGTTCAGGTTTGTTGCTTCGTTTTTTGTCACGAATGATCGCGTAAGAGTATGTCATCGTTGCTTAGATATGTTACAAGTGAACAATGTTTGTAGACAAAGAATTTATTTTTCCGGAATAAACGATGATGAGAAAAAAAGAAGTGTCAATGTAATATTCTTTAGTAAAACTTTTGCAATAAGGAAATTATCACGAGTGTGTTACAAGTAGGCGTTATTTTTTCAAAACGTTTTCCATTTTTCTAGAGAGAATGTTCTGCCAGTTAGATTTTTTTCTTTTTTCTTTTTGTAAAAGTACAGTTCACAATTAAAGTTCTTTTCAGCGTCATCTCCGACGAGTGAAATTGAATTTGTCATGGATAAATTGGGTGGGGATAAAAATGTCAATCAAGATTTGGAACATGGAAAACAACCACAGAAAGCCAAACGACGAACTTTACTGCATAATTTCTTTGATTTTATCGCAATTGCAGCAAGTAGGAAGAAAAAAAACATTTGATTATTTGCTTTTCTGCATCTCACTAATCTTTCTTATAGCCTGTCTTATTTTTGGTCTTATCTATTTGTTAATCAAACCAACACAACGTGGTTTCTATTGTGATGATACATCAATTCAATATCCAAACAAACCCGATACTATTCCGATGTGGTTGTTAGGCATCTATGGAGGAATAGGTCCGGTTGTTATTGTAAGTATTTGATAATGAAATTGACCTTCGAAGAAAATGTTTGTCGAGACGATGGAATGACTTTCTTGCATGATCTTTCAATATCGATTATGGTTGCCAATCGGTATTGTATTTCTTGTTTTGTTTGTATAGTTCTGCATCGTGGAAATCTGGGTGGTACGTCCCTTTCATTGTGGCCGAGGGCCAAGTAGAAAAAGCCTCAAACAGCGACGAGTTGATTATCTTAAAACGATTCTGGAATCAACCTTTCTGTTTCTTCTCGGTATCGCAATTTGTTTTCTTATCACTGAAGTTGGCAAACGTAAGAGATTCGAGAAGGAAAACCAATCCTATTCACTGTCGATTCTTCTTGTAGGCACTATCGGTCGATTGAGACCGTACTATCTGACTATTTGTAACCCTATTTGGGCGGATATTCAATGCACAAAGAGCGTCACAACAGCCAGCGGTGTCATACAAATTCCTCAGTAAGTTTATTTGTTCAAATCGATATGCTCATCCATTCATATCTTAGGTATGTCATTGATCATCATTGCAATACAACAGCATCAGCTACTCAACTTCAAGAAGCGAAATTATCATTTCCATCAGGTCATTCAAGTTATTCGACATTTGCGTTTGTTTTTCTCTTTGTAAGTTTACTTATGAGAGTGGAGATCGTTCTTGATTGATTCTTATGTCATGTTTTTAGGTTTATTTTGAAGCGCGTCTGGTTTGTCCGAAAATTCAATTTTTAAAACCATTTCTTCAATGTTTATGCATTGCTGTTGCTTTCTTTACATGCTTGTCACGTGTGACTGACTTTAAACACCATCCGACAGATGTTATTGGTGGAGCAATTATTGGCTTTTGTATTGCAGTTTTTGCTGTAAGTAACCTACAAAAAATAGATGAGAGCTGAATAATTAAACAAGCTTTTTGCTTTCCACCATTCAGGCGGTTCGCATTGGAACATATTTATGGAGTTTCAGTGTCTACTGTGAAACAGAAGATGAAACAGAAAAGGATCGTTTACCAGATGAAGAACGTATTCCAATACCCGGAGTTAAAACTAAACAAAATGGTACCCTACGTGTCGATGACCATCTGCAATTAGAATCGATGCATCAATCACCAGCAATGTCACGTGCTCATAATAGTATTTCCACTCGATCGACCTATGACAACAACTCATCTATGCAACCAAATCAACATCAAAGAAGTGGTCCATATCCAATGGCAAGTAATGGACGACGCATTGCACCTGAAAGTGCCAATATGTAAACAATTTCGGACGATAACACTACATACAATGGTCTGGTCAGATAGGAGAAAAAGAAAGACACATCGTATGCTTTGTTTGTTTTTCATGCTTATTGTCACACATTTTCTAAGCTTATATTCATGCGCTTCAAACGCGTTTGATCTATTTTTATCAATGTTATACTATGACATATTCCTTCTTATCTACAAACAATTGCCTTCAGAAAAAAAAAACATATTTGAAACTCAATTGTCTTGTTATCATCGACAGCGCGCTAAATAAAAAACAACGCTTGGTCACGAACCGTAGAAGTGCAGTTCTGCCAGATGATAAATGGAGCATTTTAAACACTCTACTTACATTACTAGTTGAAGAAAACATGACTTTAGTTGGTGACGTCACATTTCGCAAAACAGAATTACCAACTGTCTGGTTTCCACTAAAGTTTATATTTTACTGTAAAAAGAATGAGTTCATCACCATGATCAAGCATGAATATATGCATATAAGAGAAAAATTATCACCATATAGTACGAAAGCGAAATACAAGTGATTACAAAAGAAAACGACAATGTTCAAAATTTTTGTGATTTAATCACTGCTTGTTCGACATAGAATGCGTGAACGTCGCCAGCTGGATTGATTGTGAAATTGTATCGATCCGTCTTGTGATATTTACCATGAAATTCATCATGAAATGTTTCGAAAAAATCATATTCGTCAAAACGACCTAAACCAAGATCAGTTAGTAGGATACTCATGTGAATCGGTGTGCCGTATGGTTGAGGGAAAAGTGCGACAAACTAGAAAGCAAATCCAAAGATTCATATGCACATGATATTAAAATAATGTCTCACAGCTGTACGATCATCTTGTAATGATTTACTCCAGACTTGAACATCACCATCTAACTGAAGAACACACAAGGAGATAAAGTTTGCGTGACAACGTTTGTACGCTGAATAGAATAATTACTTTAAGAATACGTCGTCCCATGACTCCAAGTGGATCTTGATTGATAGCAATTAGATTTTTATTTAGAATAATCTCACGCGCCCAATCGCTGATGGTTCTTAAATCAACCGAGAGAATCAAGGGCGCAGCCATGATTGACCAAAGCGCCATTTGTGCTCGTGATTGACCGGGGCTCAAGCCATAGTTACCCACGACTATCTACGAAGAACAACAACCTTTTATTCATACCAATCGTCATGCACTGTTCTTACCATATCAGGATCATTCCAATGACCAGGACCGTGGAATGGTGATAAACGATCTTGATTATCGCCAAACCAATTGATGATCGAATAAACACTATCCCATGAATCATCAATATCGCCCCAATTACGCCATAAATTACACGTTTGAGCTATTGCCGAATAGTTCGGCTTTATTTTTGAGTATTCTTGATAAGCTGGCCATGAACATGAATATGCAATTGGCCGTCCGGTGGCATTCAAAGCATTTTCCATGGATGGATAACCAGTGTCAAAATCTTTAATATCAGCGTTACATCCATCGAGTTTTAAATAATCAACGTTCCACGACGCAAACGCTAAAATATTTAAAAGGCATGTAGGAAAGAAAATAATTGATTAGTTCAGATACTTTTAGCATCTTGTTCTAAATGCCCCAAGACACCAGGAAAACCAGCGCATGTCTGTGTACCATAATCTTCATAAATACCGAATTTTAATCCCAATGAATGTACATAATCAGAGAGAGCACGAATACCACTGGGAAAACGATCAAAATCTGGTTGCAATGAACCATCCTATTATGGATAAAACCAAACAAATATATATCATTTTTAGGACGTCGATATTATAACTTACAGCTGCTCGCGTTTGATTTAGCCAACAATCATCAATAATTATGTATTCATATCCGGCCGCTAAGTACCCACCACTGACAAGTAATTGAGCTTGTGTTCGAATTAATTTCTCGCTAAAGGCAAGCTAAGTATCATTGTGGAAATGTTTATGAAAGTACCTAATGCATGAATCCGGATTTTGATGACAATCAGTGACACAACGAAATCGTTGCCATGTTAACCAGCCCTATACACGATCAGAAATGCGTATTCGAAAACGTTGTATGTGCGATTTACCATCGGTGGCTGTCGTAGAAGTCCATTCTCAAGAGAACTGACTCGATGAAAGCATGAATCACAAATTACGAACACTATCAAACAGTTGATGGCATGTTGCGACCACTTCATTTTTGAAAATCTTGAAAAAAGACTGAATCTTATATCCTAGACTAACAATAAAAAGTCTACAACGTCAATCAGAACAATAGAAATTATACATCAATGATCGATCAGACGAAAGATGGTAAAGTTGTATGTTCATCCTTTCAACGTTCGCTTTATTTCGACAGTGATCGAACAGATAGGTTCGATCCGAGGGTTTAGTTCATGGTGATACAAGAAACAATTCGAATAAATACTTAAAGTTCACACAAACAAAAGAGCAAATTTCTTTCATCGAGGGATTTATTATTCGTAAACATGATCGGGCGACGTTCATATGCCATGGGGTGCTATAGAATCTACCACTTCCGTCTATGATTTCAACAAAACGCTACTTCTTTGTTCTCGTTCATCGAGCGGATCTTCCGGTTATTAGGATTAACAAAAAGTCATCACGATACTTCTAACATGCAATAAGATAAACTTAACCATGACGGAACACTGGAGCATATCATAAAGAATTTCTTCTACTTAATTTCGTTATTCTCGCTGATCATGACATCGTGACTTACCACCGATCGGCCAGCGCGAATGAATTAGACAAAGAAAGAAAGGATGGATTGTTTTCAATATACAATAAACTCGAAAAATAAATAAAAAATTATTGATTGACAACTACGACTTCATTGCTTTTCACCAATAGTGATAGTTTGAAATGCATCGTCGCTTGTTCGAAAGATGTCTCTCACGTAATAATTATACAACTGATTTCTTTTGTCTTGACACTATGAGTAACTCGATTCAATCAGCAATGGATTGTAACAAGTACTATCAATAGAAAATTCGGCAATAAGCTGAATAGTCGTACTCAGTTTACGGTTGATGAACAACATATCTCTGTGCATATAATTATCAAGTTTTGTTTTGCTTCATTGTATTATTTCATTCTATGCATTTAATCGGAGACGGATTCTAGTTCTCTTTCCGTTTAGTTTAAATACAAACCAACTGAGTTGAAAATTACGTCTTTTTTAGCAACAGACGAATAGCGATGATCTCTTGTAACTTCACAAGCTCTAGATTTAGCTCTGCACGTATTTGAGTGAGGTCATTTAAAAATAAGAGACGATCAATAGTGTAGTTTGTTGGCTGTATTTTTTTTAAATAGTTTCGTTCATTATTTTTGCTGCAGACTTTTCTTTATAATATATATGTGCTGAAAAAAGAAAAAAAAGAAGCGAATGGCAGCAAAATGAAGATGAAGAAAAGAAGAGAGGATGTTGAGGAGGAGAAGAAGAAGAAGAAGACAAAGTGGAGAAGAAAAAACGAATTGAATAAATGTGCATGTATGTATTAACATCAGAGTGAAGCTGTAGTTGTTGTTGTTGTTTTCCAAGATAGTAAATGAACACTTACACGCGTACACATAGAGAACAGCAACACCAACGTGAGAAAAATAGAGAGAAAGAAATACGCACGCACACACGCACACAGAAGGAAAGTTTCAGGTTTGAAGAGATAAGGATAGTAAAGAGATAGAGAGAGAAGAGAATAGTGTACAAAAGCATGTTGAAAAACGAAGAAAAAAAAAGGAAAAGAAAAAAGATGCGGCGTTGAAGATGCATACTAAAGCTGAGTGATGATTATTCGCATCACGTACCAGGTAGTTGTTGTTGTTTCGTTTGGTTATTATTAAAATTAGAGCAGCGTTTGGATTTGATCGTATCGGATCTTGTTGTTGTTGCTTTTTCTTGTCAATTGAAATGAAGATTTAAAAGAAGCCACTGATACATAGACGCAGAGAGACACACACACACAAACGTATTTACGACAATGATAATGAGTAAAAGAGAGTGAGGGAAACCGAATCGAACGTTTAAGAACGATCTTTATTAATTGAATCACCGCCTGTTGTTGCTTGTTCATCGAGACTATTCATTGCATCATTTTCTCCAGGTCCATTTACATTAGTGTTTGCCGGTGGGGATGATCCTGATGCTGCTATATTGGGTACGACCGAGGGTGGTGGAGTTGAAGTCGAGGGCGTGAGCGGCTTTTCACTACTACTTAAGGTTGCTGCCGACGCTCCTGTCGAATTGCCACTTGCAGCTGATGCATTCGTTGCAGTTAGATTTGACGATGAACCAGTCATATTACTAGCTGCTAATGTTTGTTGACCTTGCATATAGGCGGGAATCAAGCGTGAATTGAGCGTTGGGTTGATATTTAATTCTAAATGATAGATCAGATTCGCCATGTGATGATTTGTTTTGCAAAGAAAATCACTAACCTAATTGGCTAAAATTGAAAAGAGCTGGAAGAGAACCGTTTGGTAATCGTGTGTCAGGATCACGTAATTCATCAAAGAATGCATGAGCACAAGCTTCAAGTGGCGTCAAACGTGTTGCTGGTGTATAATCGAGAAGTCGACAGACGAGATCAATTGCTAAGGGTGGTGTACGATTACGAAAAACTTTGTGCCATGGATGAGCTTTGATTTGGGGAAAACGAAATTCTTGATAATTTGGATTCATTTGTCGGATTTGTTCACGAGTTGGTGTACCTAATACTTTAATGATTTCAACTAATTGATCAACACCACTTTCACCCGGGAAAATGGGTTGACCAAGAAGAAGTTCAGCGAAAACACATCCCGATGACCAAACGTCTACACAATGCGCATATGAAAAGAAAAGTGCGCTTTTGAGCACACGCATTCCACTTACCTATGTAACAAGTATAATCGATAGCGCCAAAGATCAATTCCGGTGCACGATAATAACGCGAACATATATACGAAACATTCGGTTCACCTTTTATTAATTGTTTAGCGCTATAAATTAATCAGATCGAATTAGAACATCTGTTGTCAAAATTTACCTTCCAAAATCGCATAATTTCAATACGGACGTGTCCGGATCGAGTAATAAGTTTTGCGGTTTAATGTCTCGATGACAAATACCAAACGAATGTATATAAGCCAATGCCCGAAAGAGTTGGTACATGTATAACTAAATTTCAAGAGTTTATTATTTCCTTTATCATCATATGTGTTTCTCTGATGAATAGTGGACATGAAATGTCGAAGAGCAAATAAGGTCTTTCGATGCTTTCCTGATTTTAATTGTCTGTTGTCATGAAAAGTTATTTATAAACTCTAATCTCCTTCTTACTTTGACACAGAGTATCGGAATGGTTTGCTTTTGTTTTGTATAGTGGCGTGCAACACGATAAACTGTTTCCGGTATGAATTCCAGAACAAGATTTAGGTAAACTTCTTCTTTGAGCTGAAATAAAATGACAAACGAGGGGATGCTTTTCCGCATATCAAAATCTATCACACACATTTACTTTGTCACCAGATGAAAAGAAGAAATATTTTAATTGAACAATATTTTGATGATCAAGTCGTCGCATAATCTGAAGTTCTCGATTCTGGAATACATATTTAGAAATCAAATGTAAGGAAACGTTCATTGAACCGTTACTTTGAATCTTTTGTCTTGTAAAACTTTTTTAATAGCCACTTGTTCATTTGAATGTACAAGCTTGGCCTGATAAACAACACCAAATGAACCGTTACCAATGACTTTTGTATCTGTATAAGATATTTCTTCGGATATCTCTGCTCCACGACCACGTGTGGCTACTACTGTCACTGCTTTTGGATTACTGGCATCTATCAAAATGGCTTTTATTGACACTGAAAACATCGAATTTGTCCTTACTATCAACGGCTTGTTTACGTGGAACTGAGGATGCTGTATTACTACTCATATTTGTTAGTTAAAGTCTTCGATATTCTCTTGAAACAAATTGATGTTGATCGAATAAATAAATAAATATATATATAGACTTATATATATATATTCAGAGAAGGATTCGTTTTTCTCTCATATTTGATATCTCGATGATAAAAGAGATAAATATTTCAAATCTAGAAGAAAGAGATAACATTAAGAAGCATATACAAAATAGATCAGAGAGGAATTGGTTGGAAATGCTAGCGATTGGCTTTGGAGACTGTTTTTATTCGTAGGGATGGAACTTGAGAGCGTTGTGGTTGATTCGACATCTGTTGATTTAAGTTTGCTTGTTCATTACGTGTGAGAGATGTCGATGTATCAGGTGTTTTCAGTGCTGTGCCATAATTCATTGCTTCAAGCAATTGTTTCGTATCGGATGGATTAGTGAACCGTTGCAAATCAAATTGCTTTTCAGTTTTATCCGTGGCGACTTTCGTTCCTTGAAGGATATCACTTGTACTATGTAGAGCCGCATTTAATTCTTGTACACGCATTTGAATCTCATTGGGGTTCAACATTGGACGACCGAATCCACTTCCGGAAAGGCTACTGTTAGAATTTGTGTTTAATAATCGTTCGCGTTCATCGATTTCTGGCAGATTTTTTGTTCGCAACAATTGAGGCATGAAATCATGATTGAACACAGATAAACGTCTCTCAGTTAGTTGTTCAACAGTGGCATCAGCTTCAGGTGATAAACACATAGGTATGATGGAATTTGTGCGCAATGTTGGCAAGAGATTTCGCACTAGGCCACGTAATGTTGTGACTTGTGATGACAGAACATTCATTTGGTCAAGAATTGTTGGCCACGATGGTTGACCTTGCTCGTATTCGATGAAGAAACCAGCGAGAGCTAATTTCACTTCCCGTACTTTATCTAAAATTTGCTGTAGCTTATCGTATTCTGGTGACCTATGCATTGTTGTAGCTGTTGTGCTTGCTGAACGATCCATATGGATTTGAAATGGATATTGTCTGAAAGAAAAATTATACAGAAGATTTATTCACCCATCATCATCTTTTGTTAAGAATCGTGTGGGTGTATTGCTTATTTCTTTCATCTTGTCGATGGGTGATGATCAAAGGAGCCATATCGATGGTAGGTGAGCAACCGAAGTCAACAAACAAAATGTTTTCAAAAAATATTTTGTATTTTTCCTACTCATTTATTTTTTTCATATCAAACAGTAATTTTTTTAGCTATTTCATTAAAATTTGTTTCGACTTACAGATGGCTTCACAGATAATATACTAGCCGCTACCGCCACCTATCCTTAATTAATATGCACATTGACGGTTACCAATTTCTTTTATTATGAAAACGAGTGCAAGTCATATTTTGAGTTACTGGAGAAACTCCATAAGAAAATCATTTCCAATTCCATACAATTCAAATTGGTGTCATATCGCTCGTTGCTACATGCTCTTTCATTATAACAATGTAACAGTTTGAATTAGAATGTCAGCAATGCTACTTGAATACAAGCTGGTGCGTCAAGTGTGAATGAACTTAATAACTTATGTGATATAGAACAAGAATGGAATCGATTGATTCTCTATGTACTAACACTAAGGTATTCGAACTTGAATTGTTGAATTTCCTTACTCAGTGATCTATCGAGAGTTCTTAGCATTTCTGAGTAATAGGATTTATCGGACTAATTCATTTGACATGTTTGTCGACCATAGCAGTAAAGATATATGACACACGAGTATCGAAGCAGAAAGTGTTAAAGTTCTCGATACATATTTAGTATTGGACTATCTGCTTTGAAGGATCCAAACTGACATTTATTAGCATTAACAGTTATTTACAAATACTAAAATGTCTAATAGCTTGACAAACTTTCATAAAATACCAATGTGCATCATATATTCCCTCGGGTCGAATTGTGAAATGCGTCTTGCTAGGGTATGAATTGTATCCTTCTAATGAGACATTATTACGTAACTGTGTATGTCAAATGAATCCAACAGTGATTTTCGTCTATGCTATTGATACAACGGCAGCGTGCCATTTCGTAAATGCCGTTTGTTTACGAGCAAGAACAAGGGCAAGTTGGGGTATTAAATCCTCTGATAAAGCAACATACTCAAAAATAATTGTTATCACTACTTGATTTTGCTCAGGAAACACGAAGAAGATCTCTTCTTTGCTCAAAGAATACTTTTTTCTCAAGTGTAAGAGAAAATTAATAATAAGATCAGTGTGAATTATACTCTGTAGACTAATCATTCAAACACAAAGCATCCGCGTGATATATTGAACAAAGAAGTTCAAAACATTTGATTCAAAGTATACGTATATCTAGAATAACTTGTTATTGTTTCATACTGGGAGTATTTAAACTAGTGAGTTTCAGATTAACAGTTATAGGCATTTCATTTCTTCAAGAATATTATGCTCAAAGATCTATAGCACAGCGATGTTCTGGGACGAGCGTGCTATTTTAATTAGCTTTAACACCTTTATAAGTGTTTCCACTTGGAAATCTTGTCGCAGAATAATGCGGTATTTCGATTCAGAACAAAATGACGTATATACTATTGAAGTAGTTACTAAATGGAAAAAGCAGACGCCAGGGATAAATGGAAAAAAAACTTTTCTAATTTCAGTTAGTTGCTAACAACATTTTTATCAGAATTTATGCTTCATACATTCGCCTGGGAGAATATTGAAGAAAGGCTTCTAGTGGAAACGAGCACGTCAGTTCACTTCTATTCTGTTTAGAACAATTCTCTCAGCGTTTTATCAATGGTTGGTATTTTCGGATGTGTCGGACATTCATATAGAGGGGTCAGAAATAGAATAGTACAGTTCTGTACTATCTCATACATAAAAACCATGCAGAAGTAAATGTGCTTTAAAGCTATCTTCTCTGGATCTGTAGTATTAGGCTAGATTCACGTAGAGCAGTCCCCTGAGAAAAGATACTAGAAAAACCGTATCAAATGAATGAATACTCATAACTGTCTTAGATACATGTCTATCCGTCACAGAAGATAGTCGAATGACCCATCAACATAGCCACTGTTAATGAATATTGTACTCAAATAGAAAGGTATTTTCGTTGTTCAGTTTGGAGCGAGTTCTTTCTAAGCGTCAGTAACAAAACAATTAACAATAAAGTGTCGAGAGATCTTTTCCGCGATACAATAAAAAAAAGTATGCTGCTTCGTTCCGCTATCCCGATCTAGCTCAAATACATCTTTTTGATAGAAAAAGTTAGCGGGACTACTTTCATCTAAATTTTTTTTCATTTTAGCTGGGTATTTTTTGGTAATATCTACTCGAAGAAATAAAAATGCAGCTTTTTAATGTGCGATATTTGTTTTTACTCTTTGTATGTGGATCTCACCTCGATATACACAATGTAAAAGCCGATTGGCCATCGCTGGATTCCTCCAGCGTTCAACTACTAGGCCTTTTTTCAGATGCCGCAAACGCCACTAACCCTAGCACGCTCACTATTCAAGCACGTGCAATGTTCAAAGCAGCAGTTTTACTTTCTCAGCAGTATAACATACGGATTGATGGAGAACTTATCAACTGGCGAACATCACTCACTGGCGGTATTGGCATCGATGCACTTAGTAGTACTTGTCATATACTTTCTGATTCCAATATTGTTGGTATCGTCGGTCCCGCATTATCTCGAGAAACTACAATAGTTGCTGATTTTGCTGCTAAAATAGGTATACCAGTCGTATCGTATGCCGCAACTGCTCCTGAACTGTCCAGTAGAAAAGTATATCCTACTTTATATCGTACCATTCCTTCGGATTATTCAGCTGCTTTGGCTATAGTAAAACTGTTCATACGATTTAACTGGAATAAAAGCGACATTGTCTATCAAAACGACGCATTTGGAACGGGCGGTGCAAAAGTGATCGAAGAAGCATTCCTTGCGAACGGCTTGTCGATCGAAAATACAATTGTATATGACATCGGTTCAGGCGATTTTAAAGGTGATTTAAAAAATACCTTAAGCAACAGTTCGTCACGAATTATATTACTATGGGCAACGTCGTCTGTTACAGAGATCATTCTACAAAAAGCTCTGTTTCACGATATACTCGGTCCGCGATTTACATGGATACTGAGTACAAGTATTTCATTTGCTTCTTTCAATCAATCTTCCTATTCAAAATTAATTGGCATGTTAACAATCGAGCCTGTCGTGGCAACAATGGTCGGCGTATCCGTGAATAGAACTTTGTTAAATGCTGCTTATGACCTATGGAAAACGTATGAGCCAGAAACATATCCTGCATCATCTGAAATCAATTATTATGCATTATTTGCGTTTGATGCTGCTTGGTTGTTGATTCAATCATTAGGCAAATTTTGTTCAGCAAATAGCAATAATTTGTCATCATGTGTTTCACTTACAAATCCATCGGTATGTTTTGATCGGCGTTTCCTCAACTCGCGTTCGTTTCTTGATACAATCAATAATATGAGTTTTCTGGGTGTATCTGGTTTGCTGAAATTTGATTCTGGTGCAACAGATCGGATTAATGGAAGTTACTATTACGCACAGAATGTCGATACGTATGCTGGTGGTATCAATTTCGTACCAGTCTTGGGCTATTCGGATGCGAATGGCTGGGAAAGGTATGCTGGGGCGAGTCCAATCATCTGGCCGGACGGGACATTAACTATCCCCTCTGGCATTGCTAAACTGAATGGCGTACATTTAAGAATTGGCGTCATCGTATCAGCGCCGTTTACAATTCTTACTACAGTAACCGATGAATTAGGACGACCGAAACAAACAGTTACTGGTTACATGCCTGATCTTATCGCCCTTCTGCAAGATCGAATGGGATTTATTCCGGATATTCAAATAGCACCGACAAATTTTAGCTATACAACACTTATTCAAGCAGTAGCAACCGGTCTATACGATATTGTCGTTGGTGATGTGACAGTTACATCTTCTCGCAGAGAAATTGTTGATTTCAGCAATGCTATATACGACAATTCTCTGCGAATTGTTATGGCAAGAAATAGCGAAACTAACGTTGACTTCCTATCATTCTTAAAGCCATTTTCAAGTAACCTATGGCTAATGGCATTAGCTGCTATGATCGTCGCCGGTGTCCTGTTCGCCATATTAGAAAGATCAGATAATGAAATCTTGCAACAACGATCTACCATTTCCTTGCTGACAATGAGTGTATGGTATTCATTCGGTAATATCGTTGGATATGGCGCAGATTTCGAAGCGAGAACAGGTTCTGGACGTCTAATAACTGCTGGTCTATACTTGTTAAGTGTGGTATTAGTCGTATCGTATACTGCAAATTTAGCTTCGGATTTGACCTTATCCCGATCGCGCTCAATCATATCGGGACTCGACGATGTTAAGAGCGGAAAAATTCCCTTTAATCGTATTGGTATTCGTGTTGGCTCAGCTAGTGAAGACTTTTACTTACGAGAAGTGTCAAATGGCCGTCGAAATTATTATGCGCTGAAAAACAAACCCGAAACGTATGCATGTTTGTTGAATGGTAGTATTGACTTAACATTTATGGACGTTGGTGTTGCTGAATATATTACTAATAACGTTTACTGTAGTTTAACATTAGCTGGCGAAGAATTTAACAAAGGCGTTATGAGCATTGTCACACCAAAACAATGGATATATAAACAAGAATTGGATATCAATATCTTGGCGTTGAGAGAAGCTGGTCAATTAGATCGACTAAAATCAAAATGGGTTGATGCAAAAGATTGTCCTGCACCATCTGAAATATCTACTGCAATGGAAGTCGAATCAATGGTTGGCTTATTCTTAGTGTTCGCAGTGATCTGTCTCTTATCGGTATTACTATCTATTTGGAAAAAACGAATGACTATATGGAACTACATATCTCGAAATAGGAAGGGACCAATAATTCAACTTAAAATCTGAACATCATGTTTCTTGACGTTGTGTTTGCTTTAAGCTCGCTTTTGTCGTTGTATTGCAACGTTACAGTCATCTGGATTGCAAATCATCTGTTAGATTAAAACGTTCGCTATTTTATATATATATATAATAAACGTCCAAAAATGAAGTCAGAAAATCTTGTCAGGATGATTCTGTCGACAGAAATTGCCGTCTCAGATACTGATAAAGCATGACAAATCCGACTGTTATCCATAACGAGATAATAATCAAGCCACCAAAAAGTTCGACTACTAGCACTGTCGTATCCATAAGATTTCCATTACCATAAGATGAATAACTACAAGTAGACACCTGACATTGAGTAAAATAGTTCTCATAGGATACATTAGTGAGATATTCTTCAACGAAAAGTTTCTCCAGGAGAAATTTTACTGTTAAATTGTAATCGAATTGACTTTGATAAAACGATGCGTTCAACGCTTGAAACTCGTCGTTGGGGTCAGCATATGGCTGATCGTACAAAGATCCGACTCTCCATTGAAGGAGTCCGTCTAGAGGCAGACAACCAAGAGTAACATTTCCCATCGATTGTGTGCATGTCGATGACAGACCGCAGTTACATTGACTGTACTGAACAGAAAACGTGTGATAATTCCAATACCGACTGGTGAATTCAATCGGTTCGTATTTCCAATTGGTTGAATACATATTCAACAGCGTATTCTTTGCGGTCATATGTCGAATAAGATCGAGAGTATCCATGAACGATTGAGCAGAACTTTGACCGAACTGCTCGACCAGTTGCTGAATTTGTTTATTCAATGCATCCGAAGAAATCAATCGCGTATTGACATAACTGCTTGTAATAAACTGTGAAAGTGTATCATTAACTGCTCGCTCAGATAGTTGACAAAATGCAGAAAGTAGCTGGTTTTGGGCAAGAACAAAACTGTCGTTAGTTCTCTCATATACGTACATAATCCAGTCGGTCGAAACAAGTTCACTAGAACATAACGGATGGAAACGTGGTTGAATCGTAATGAAACTTTGATAATCAATTGATATTTTTGAACAGGAACATTCTAATGTATCGGCGTACTTTTGTAATAGATCTTCATGTAGCCGACGCGAGGGCTGGTTTATAAGAGTCGTCTTAGTTTGCACGGGAAGGTACGAAATAAGGTAAACAATCATCGTGATACTCAATATGAATATAAAATGCAATCGATTTGTTCGTGTTTGATCATTATGGACATCGAAAATACATTTAAAAAATTGAAAGATTGAATTGAACGAATTGATTTTCATTATATCTTCGACAAAGGTGATCAAAATCGAAATGATAAGTTTCAGGCATCGTGATAATCCACCAAAGACACCGATAATCGTCGAAAGCACAACAATCGCACTACGATAGCTCGTGTATTCGTACGTACAAATCGGGGAACAGGAATTAAAATATGCTGGAAATGAGACGGTTACATTCCACGAATTGACCATTAGGCGGTTGATAATCGATCCAACTTGTTCGGTTTTTTCCTGATCTGTTAAATCCAACGCTGTGAAATTTTTCGGTGGAGTGTAATCAAGTAAAACTGTTGATAGAGAGTCAATTACTTGATCGACGTAAGTTTGATTGGTCAAACTAATTAGTTCTGATTGGAAAAGCGCTGTAACAGGAAAGCAACCGACAAGAAGATTTGGGTATTCTAAGTGGCCACCAAAATCAACGAACATGCTGCTACGCGCTGACGGATATTCTATTGGCATGGAACATAATCCAGATAATTCACAGGAACAATTGGAATAATTCAAAGGTTGATAAAACATTTCTTTTGTCGTTAAATTCAATTGAAAATCAACATTCTGTAAGTAGCTAACAAGTCGATTTCCTTGAGTGGTTTGTTGGATAAGTTCAATCAAACGTTGGTATTGATTTTGTGTTGTTAGCTTCCATTGTTCAATTAGGGAAGAGAAATGTTCTTGAAAAGTGTTTCCATCAACAACTTCCGATGTAACATAACGGTTTCGAAGAAAAACATCTCGAGCATCTTCGACAGTTTGGGCGGCGTTCGTACAAAATATATTAAGAATACTAAAATGCGTGACGAAATTTTTTTGATATCTCAAGCCAGATATGGTCATGTAAGATGTAAATAGGGCTAGAAAGTTAAGCCAATCGTCGGAAACAAAATCACTCGAACATATTGGATGATATATTGGTGTAATTGAGATGAACTTTCCAAAAGATGTGGATAATTGGGTGCAAGAACAAGTAGCATCGTCATTGTACTTTGTTTTTAACTTTAAATATATCGATTCGGTTGGATGAGGAACTGTCTTTTGGTAGATATCTTCCGTCGAGAGAAAGTAAATGACCACAACTGTGAATGATATTCCGAGAAGCAAGATAAAGACACGTGTAATTCGACGTTCATGATGAATATAACGATCATCATTTCTCCTCGTTTCGAACAAGTTTAGCTCAGACAAAATACGACTCAGCCGAGATTTGTATTCAATGATTTTATTGCGGACTGAAACGAATGAATGTGTGAGGTGAGAATTTTAATAAGAAATTTAAGTCAACTTACGACTCGTACGATGTGCAGATTGAATTGCTAATCGCCGATTACGAATGTAGCGAACAATAGCTGGAACAAGTATCCCTAACGTTATGGTTAATCCACCAAGTAAGCCAATAATTTTCGTAAGAATGTAACCAAAGCTGCGTCGTTGGACTATGGTATATGTGCATGACGAAGGTGTGCATTGGTTGAAATATTGTTTATAAGACACGTTGTATGTCAGTTGCTGTAGCATTAGACGACTGACGATGGTTTGGATTGTTGAATTCAATTGAAACTGACTGGATTCTGGTATGGGCATAGCTGTAAAATTCTCCTGAGTAGTAAAGTACGAGACAGTTATATTTAGACATGTTTGATTGTAAAAACATTCGAGTGTGGATTGGAGAAGTGAATGCATTGCGGTGCAACTGGAAACTAAACCAGAAATGTTCCAAATTGACACATCAATATATTCGGGATAAGTTGAGTTGGCCACAGCGAAAGGATAAATCCCCATTTGTTCAGCACAGGAATAAGTTCTTGTGCAATAGCAATAAGAACCATTTGCTTCTAGGAAAGCTCGTCCCAAAATTGACAATTCGGTGCTCTCGGCGTAGATTTGATCATAATAGTAAAGACTTAGTGCTGAGTTCAGTGCAGGTATCAATTGATTTGCAAACATCATTTCACCGAATAAGTTCAGTTCTGATTGAAATAGGAATGAAAGAGTTAATTGAAATTCCATGATGTAGGCTTCGATTATAGACTGAAGTAAACTATCATAGAGTACTGCTGGACTGATAAATTGACTAGTATAGAGAGAATCTAACCCAGTTTGAAACCTTTTCTCTGATAGACGACAGAGACTAGCAAGAACTTGAAAAAGTGAACTGCCTGTTGATCGAATATCGGATGAGTAAAGATCAGTGGCGTTAGAGGCGGAAAAAAGCATTTGAATCCATCGATCGGATACGAAATCACTTGAACAAATTGGATGAAATATTCCGTTAACTGTTACGAATGTTCCATAGGAAAACGATAATCGAGAACAAGGACATTCGGCATCATGAGGTAGAGTACGCACTTGTTCTTCCGTTGGATAAGATACCATCAGACTACTTGTCTCAGGAGTTAACCAAAGGCCAATGACAATACTTGTGAGAGTGAGTAGAAATGTTATTATATACATTCGTGTAGCAATTATATTTGATCGCCGTTGATATTCGTTATCGTCAGCATTTTCGAATATGTTAAGTTGACGTAAATAGTTGAACACCATTGTTTGGCAAATAAGATAGTTAATTAAACAACAAGTATTTCATCTATTTCATCAAACACTATTTTTTGTGTCGATTTAGAAAGTCTGATTAGAAACAGAGAAACATTAAGAAAAGTAATCTGGCAGATTGAAAAGAAGACTTGTCAGTAGTGTTTATCATTTGCATGTTTTCAGTCGAAAATAAATTAATCTGTGTATCACCGGCGTGTTTATCGTTTATTCAGAAATGAGAAAAATTAATATACAAAAAAGCCACCCAGTTATTTTTTCTCTTCTGGTAAAAGAGTTTTGTTTTATTTTTTAGCACCAGTTATACGACGAGGTGGGGATCGATCATGTCGAGTGCCTGTCGTTTGCTGAGCATTCGTATCGTACGGATTAGGTGCGGGACGAATACCGCGGGAAAGACGTTGCTACAGAAAGTCACAGATGCTTTGATATAGTTGCAACAAAAAAAGGAATGATTTACTCGTTCTTGATAACGGCGTTCATAATAATCAAGTTCCGATTCACCAGGACGACGCAATTGGGATTGTGCTTCCGCACCTTTTAATAGCAAAAGAAAATCAATCAGATTATGAACCAATTTATGTGGGGAATAATGCGTTTCATACTATTAGGATCGAGAGATGCATGAGCACGAAGAATTGGATGATCCATGGCTGTGATGGGTTGATTGAGAAAATCATCATCCGGCCGACCTACGAAAACAAAACATATGAATTGCAGAACAGAACGGATACATTCTTTTTCTCTCTGACCTCGACCGCTTGGATCAAGTCTTAGATAGCCTTCGGCTAATGAACTGAAGCCTGTCAAACCGCCCATAGCTTTATAGGGTGTAGCATAACCAGTTGGATGACCGCGTCTTTCTCTTTCTTCTTTCGTTTCCACTAATGTTATATGTCTATTGGCTGATTCACCACATGTACATGTAAATGGCGCACTGAATCCCGTACAATTACAATCTATGAACAAGTGCATCGATGATATATATTTCACGATCTGGAATTTATACTTTTTTGACATTTGTAAGGTGGCCGTGTGCCGTGTGTATCAAGTGAATGTTTACAACGACAGTTAGGGTCACTTGTACCAGATGCATTTGCAACGTATTCGAATGATACACAACGACAACCTGGTTGACGACATGAAATTAGAATAGGCCGTTCTCTTGGAATTTCGGGAAAATCAGTTTTGTGCTCTGTAAATCTTGTTTAAATGAGTAAGAGAAGAAAAAAATATATTCGATAGATCTTATTTAAATTTACTTGTGTCGACAGAGACACTTATGTTGCGGACCTATAAGAATACAATCCATTCCTTGTGGATTGACCCATGCAACGAACAATCGATTGTGTAAACGCTTAAAATATTCAAAATAGAACGTGACTCAATTAACGCCCAAGTGAATCATTTCAAAACTGAGAGGAAAACAATGCCTCTTAGCAAATATTGATTGATCATTTTTCTTTTTGTGTAATTCAATATTTTCAATTCAAATCGAACAAATCGATGCTTACCATCGGTAAGACTCGTTTCTTATACCCTTCATATTCTTCGGGTGTAAACAATTTGCCTCCATCATCATCGCCCACGATTCTGCAATAAAATAAGCAGTAGACTTGTTAGTTCAACACGGAGATTCTTACGCTCGATATTCAAAATAGGCATCGACATGTGCAGCAGCATTCGGAGGTAAACTGATATACTCACCCGGTGCACGTCCACGACCACTTCCTGCCATACTCGTTTTTTTTTCTATACGTCTGACGACTTTTCGAAATGGCGATATATAGGAATGAAAGTCGTCATTCATGTTCGCTACTTGGCAACTTAGTTATAGATGTCGCAAACCATCTTGAGGGTGAGGGTGTGAATAGGTCTGGGCAGTAGGATACTACATGGAAATATGTACTGAAATACTCCTAGGAAAGTCTATGCAGTTTTTCAAATCTGCAAGATTGTCCAAATTCCTATTGTCGATTTTCCACTAAACCGTTCAATTTAACACGACTAATATCTGTTATTTTTAAATTTTGGTAGGATTCTTTTACTCTTCGCATAACACGACATGCAAATTATAACTTATTTGTTTTATATGTTACCATTCCAGAGAATAAAGTGAAAAGTGTTTGCGTGTTCCTGCTTTTCTACATTTTATCGACGAATAAGTGCCTTGAGAATGTCGACGAGAGAGAAATAATGAATTGTATTTTCTCCTATTTGTTTTATTTTTCTGTATCACATATATACATAAATACGATTATCAAACAAGGATAAATATAAGTATAGAAAGTCGACGAATCTATCTATTTCAATGTTTAATTCCGTCTTTTACACGTTCCACCATCAAATGCATTTCATTTTCAATTGATCAGGTATCTTAGTTTTCAAATATTCGTTCAAAACTTCTTGATATAATTTCAATGGAACATCATATGCATTATTCGATTGTTTTAGAAATGGTTTGACGAGTGTAAAATGNACATAAACACGATTATCAAATAAGTACAGAAAGTCGATGAATTTATCTATTTCAATGTTTAATTCCGTCTTTTACACGTTCCATCGTCAAATGCATTTCGTTTTCAATTGATCAGGTATCTTAGTTTTCAAATATTCGTTCAAAACTTCTTGATATAATTTCAATGGAACATCATATGCATTATTCGATTGTTTTAGAAATGGTTTGACGAGTGTAAAATGAACAACTCTAAAATCGCGTTGCATTCTTTGCCAAAGATCAGAATAGGATGAATACATCGCTAAGTTTACATTATAAATAAGTGGTAATTGTAAATATCGAAGCTGAAAGAAAGCATTAAGAAATGCCTGTTCAGCCATTGTTGGATGATAATTATTGGGTAAACTCATTGTTCGTATAAGTTCATTAAATACACTTGTAGATGGATGTAAAACAAGTACTCCAGCATTGAAATGATAGGCAAATTTTCCGTGCCAATTATCAGCAACAGCGGCAAATTCAAATCTTGTACGAGATGGGTCAGTTACTAGTTCATGTAAATGTGAAATATCATTTAATACGAGAGTGTCAATATCTAAATAGATAATAGAATCGAATTCGGTCATATTCCATAATGTTATTTTTGTAAATTGATTGATAAAATGAAGCCAAGTTCCTTGCAATGGTGGCGAAATATTACGTACTATTCTAGGAATCCAACCTACTTGTCGTAACGAACAAAGTGTTCGATTACTCAATACATTTTCAAAGTGCATTATGTACATTTGATAATGTGGATGATATTTCTTGATAGTATAGCCTAACAATAATGCTCCTTCTAAGAAATTGTTATCGGTATATAATGCACTAAAGAATGCTTTTCGAGAGACGTCTAAGGATGGATTTGTTGATATTTCCTTCGATTGTTCATTACAAGAATAGCTATCATGACAAGCTATTTTCGAATCAAGTAAAGTTGATGGAAAACATGGAGAATAAGTTGTTACTGCGTCAAGTTTATCGCATATAATTCGTTCGTTCGCCTGACATATTGGACGAAGAACGGGAGTAACGTTGTAAATACATCTTTCCGTTTTATACTGAATTATCACAGATGGATGAAGAAAATGAATACCAACTGATGTCAATATGACAGCTACTATAAAAAATAAACAATTTCTGAGATGTGTTCCCATCAATGAAATCTAAAATATAAAGCAAAAAGAATAATTTGTAAGAATATAAGTGCTGGTACCCGAGCATATCGTCATTCTCAAGATTATGAAATATTTTCGATATTCGCACAAATTTTATCGAAAGGAATAACAATTTCAGACAATTTCTGTTCTTGGCAATCATGCGAGAACGACAAGTTCTTTCTTTCAGGTTTGCTCGCAAAAAGTGGACCAAAAGCAAACCAGACATTGTCACACGAGATTCGAAATGGCAGAAGCACGTTAATACGTGTTGAATAAACTAATGCAATTGTATTCATTATATATTGATCTTTGCCAATAAAAAATTTTCTTACACGATAATCATTAATTATTTCATAATAGGCCGACGTCCACCAACGAACAGTATCAATTGAACCACCCATAAAAGTACCTTCGATTAAATCAATTTTGATTGGACCATCGGTTATTTGATATTTAGAAGAACAAAATCGATTGGGAAGTCGAGCAATCATACCGAGAAGAAATCGATTCGTATTTAATATATTACTGAGAGTAGATACATCTGGCCATGCTTGAAATCGATACTTTGGCAATCGAAATGCTCCAGCATCCATATAAAGAAAAAAAACTGTGTGAAACGGATTGAGTTCAACAGTGCGATTCAACATAAATGATTTAGCACACCATACGGCATAAAGATCGACGGAATGATAAGCACGTTCTGGATCGGTTTGATGTTGTTGTTCGAAAGTAGATACAAGGGATGCAATAGGAGGCATTTCTAGCGGAGTTTTATAATCGAGAATGAAATATGATGGTAGTGATCCATTTTTTCTTAATCTATAAAGAATAGGATAGAATTCAGGAGTAGTAAATATAACCATTGGTGATTGACAGAATGAGAACAGATTTTCTAACCACGATAAATAATTAGATTGNCGTTCTGGATCGGTTTGATGTTGTTGTTCGAAAGTAGATACAAGGGATGCAATAGGAGGCATTTCTAGAGGAGTTTTATAATCGAGAATGAAATACGATGGTAGTGATCCATTTTTTCTTAATCTATAAAGAATAGGATAGAATTCAGGAGTAGTAAATATAACCATTGGTGATTGACAGAATGAGAACAGATTTTCTAACCACGATAAATAATTAGATTGATTGTGTTTAGCTTTTGGAAAGGGAAAATAAGCAGTAACAATTGTTATTGTTTTCTCATGGTTCGATTCCTTTGAAAAAAATTATAATAAGAGAATAAATATGGATTACACCAAATTGTATAGATGAAAAAGTTCCCAAAAATAATGAATAGGATAACTAGATAAGTATTTCTATAGTAACGATAATTCATATTACAAATCATGTTCTGAAAAAAATGGCAAATAGATTATGAATGAAAATCTATGAGATTGTTTTATTCAAAAATGAAAACCGAGGTGGAAAATAATCTTCTCGTCGACAATTGACATCGAGAGGAGAATGATCTGGTTTGGAATCAGTTATTACTTCACCTATTTTATTACGTAAAAGAAATCCACCCCACCATCCAAATGTACCAACTGTAAGGATAAGATTATCACATAAAGTTAATATAGCTAAGTCATCAATTGCTTGAAAGGTATTTGGTGTTATTAAAACATTACTTTTATGACCGAATGATTTCTGACAATATGATTTGTCATCTGATACTATAACAAATGTTACTAAACCATATTTTGTTTCAAAATATGACATAGCATTTAATATGTAATTATCTGATGAAACACGTCGAACAAGTAGAAAATCACTTCGACGAATATGAATACCTATAACAGTTGATATGTTTCTGTTGATAGCTTTGTTGAAAAATTGATTCGCTCGATCTAAAATGGATTGTTTAAATCGTAAGTGTTGTTTAACTTCTTCTTGATAATCAATAAAATATCTATATACTTGCCAAAAACCAGATAGTTCTATTGAATAAGAATAATTCGAATAATAAAGGTCCGAATAAAATGAACAATGATTATATATTTTCTTAAAAGAATTCGTACTATTGACATTTGATTTTAATAATAGATTAGGAAGGTTTATATCAAATGATTGATTGAGTTCTTTAATAATATCTGAAGCTATGTACAACTGGCATGAGCGATTACGTGATAAACCATAAGCAGAAGCAAACATAAATAAACGATTACCAAGTCGGCCACTACGTTCACGTAAAACAATAATACATTGTTTGGAACTTTTGAGTTGGCTGTAATTTTTCCATAATCTGAAAACATAATTCTTTTCTGCTTGCATATATATTATGGAGAAACACATCAAAATTATAACAGAGAAAACTAACATTTCTATCTCTGTCTTTACCAACATTTTTCTGTTGTTAATTTTCAATCATTAAAATAATCTAGAGATGAAGATAAAATAAAGTGAAATAAAACTCAGATTTAGTGAAATAAAAATTTTCTTTTCATTTGTATAAAACCTCCAAATTATTAGTTTTGCACGATAGTTCCATAAAAAGATCAAACTAGTTACATCTTACTCGTACAATAGAATTAGTTTATGTCTTGCAATTTCTTCCATAAAGGATAATATGTTTGAAGAATGTTTCTGGTTTTAATTTCTCCCCATTAAAACTGCTATTGCTGTTTTCGTTCTGTTTGCGAATCGATCTCGAATACTTGTATCTTCTACGTATTCATTAACTTTACAACCAGGCATAGATCGTAACATATTCATGGATGCGTAATGTGCTAATGTGATATGATTATTTGAAGGTTGTTGTTTAGAGAGTCCGATTACCTGATGATGAATAGATAAATATTGGATAAATTGTGGTCGATATAAATATTTCTCACGTCCACTCTTAAATAAATCTTTTGCGCGATATGTAAATCGTTCAATAGTCAGATGATTCGTATTATTTTCAACGGATGTATAACTATCAGAANTAATCATTATGATAATCATATCGTCACACAGAGATATTTTAGTTAGCTTGTGTATAATTGCTTCATTTCTTTTATTGTTATATGGTATGATTATATATAATGATTCCTTAATATCGAACAACAACTCTTAAATAAATCTTTTGCGCGATATGTAAATCGTTCAATAGTCAGATGATTCGTATTATTTTCAACGGATGTATAACTATCAGAATACTTTGTACAAAAAAACTGACTCCATAGATTAATTGATCCTATTATGCGTCGACCATAAGTGTCATGAACATAATCAGCAATCGTTTTATATGGTAGAAGTGGCACAATATATTCATCAAGATCTAACATTCCTAACCAATGTGATTGATCACCATAACGTATGAGACAATCATGTAAAGCTTCGACTTGAAAATACCGTGTTGATAAAACATCTGCTAGACCAAGACGTGAAAAATTCCATTGTACAATATCAACAACACCTGGATTTCTTTTAGAATAAATATTGACAATAGATAAAAGACGATTATTTGTATCAGTTGTATTATAAATAACAAATTTCTGAAATCCAACTAATCGATGAAATTCGATCCATTGAATGATATAATCAGCTTTATTATGCAGAGGTGATGTACACATTACAAAGAATTCTTGACTCGTATTTCTCGAATCCACAGATGATTTTGGAACGTTGACAAAAGCTTTTAATATGGGTATATTTCTATCTTTGTTTGTTGTTGAAGCGAGATATACACGTAATGTTCGTTTATATTTCCATAATTCTTCACTTGCAAATGATGTAAGTGGACAATCTATAAGCGAAACACGATCATTTCCATAGTTCTGATCGTAATCATAAGCTGGTGTCACCGATCCATCACTAAAGATGCACCATAAACTTAATTTATTTGGAAAGATTGGATCAGACGGAATTGTTTTGGGTAAAACTCGTTTCACATCAGTTGAATAAACTATCATAAATGTTACGCTTGTTCCGTAACGTACACGACTTGCTGCAACACTTAACACAAGCAAATGACCATCAGCTGATAAACATGGTACTGTAGGTATATTATCTTCAGCTGTTTCTGGCCAAGCAGCAGCAACAATAGATATATCACGAAGGCGACTTTGTTCTTCATAATTATGACCAACTGGTTGCCAACCAACTGGTGGAAAAGAAGGAAGATTAACTTTAATCGAGTTGTTGTTCGATATTAAGGAATCATTATATATAATCATACCATATAACAATAAAAGAAATGAAGCAATTATACACAAGCTAACTAAAATATCTCTGTGTGACGATATGATTATCATAATGATTAATATATTCTAAGAATAAACAAAGTAATGAAACATATGTGGCAGTCGGTTAGAGAATTTATTTGAGATTGGAATCTACATAAATGCAAAAATTTATTCCCTCTACTGAAAGGAGGGTATACACAGAATTTGAGTTAAAGCTCGTTCGTTCGTCCGTTCGTTCTATTTCGTTCAAATAGTATATATATGAAACACAGGTGACCATCTTAAGGGTTGAGCGAAGGGTAATCGGGGTCGAGGATCACGAGTCCGGTGTTAGGTTTTTGATAAAAAGTTTCTGTCACGTGTTTTGCGACAAAGGTTCACTTTTAGCGAAAAGAAGCTTTTGAAAACAGGGCTGAATGCTCTCGTGGGCCGTGAAATGGAAAGCTAATGGATGTGTTTCGTTCAAGAAGGGCACGAACTGTGTCTAATATAAGGCAGTTTTGATCGTTTTTATGGAATGGAGACCACAAGGAAGTTCGCCGAAAACGGATAAGACGACAAATTCAAGAATGATCTGCTTTTAGAAAGAAAATATGACATTGAAGAGTGTTTTTTGGAGCGTTTGTCTCGGCTAGATATTTTTGTACGCATGACACAATAGAATGTCTTCATCAACTGACAAGCTTGGTCGATAGAAGGCGAGAAGAATGTGGCATTTGAAAAAATACTTTTGAATATAAATCGACAGATTTCGTTTTTGGTTTTAGTTTTTGCATATGATCTGGATACAAGATAACTAGTGTTACATGTTAAAACATCTGTTCTGGCGACTGGAATCCAGATGAAGGATGCAAAGTTTTAGTATCTTTGAGAGGACGCTCTAGATTTTGACTCGCGAATAAAATGGCTTTATTTTACGAAGTTTGACTGGATTGAACAAAGAAAAATGAAACTGAGACATATCTTGTGTATTATATTCATACTATGTGCTCCGGCACCACGTTGGTTGTTTGGGTGTATTAATTCGGTCTAAAATACTCGGTGATCAGGAGAGAAAGCTCGGTTATTATTAGTTTTGCGAATGACTACGTTGAAGCGGTTTTTGTACTCAGGAAAAAATTATGTTTCACATAGGTAGTATGATGAACGTACATTTTATTTAGTACATATTTATGGAGTTGATATGTATGAGATACCAAATGAGAATATACAAGAAAAACAAGTGTCTACGGCATTTCACGACGAAATACATTGATAATTGAAGCATTCAAACCAAAGAAAAAAGTCTACGATTCAAATGTACTTTAAATACGATCACAGTCGAGTCAGTGTTAAAATTCGTGTTGCTTGCATCTTGTGACATTAGTTTATAAAATTTAGTACAAATCATCAGGTAAATACATTCACTATGTTGTAGCGTTTGTTTGGTTCCAAGTAGGTCTGCATAGAAACTTGCTCTTTCGAATAACGCAGCTTCCTAAAGCAAGATTATAAAAGAATTTAATGATTTTATATTTTTTCAGATGATTTCATCTCACTTTTACAACTATTTGTTTCAAGATAGGTCATTAATATTTTCCTTTAATACCAACACATGTCCTACTGTCAGCCAACACAATAGTTTCACTCTTCAAAACGACCAAAACTGGCCCTAACACTTCAAATTAGGCTCGTTTAGTCGATGAGAAACTAAAAGTCAAATCTGAGCCAGAAACTAAGAATTTAGGTATTTTTATATTTGAAAACCGGTTTCCCGAGATTACAGAAATGTCCTGGGACAAGCTGTTACCACAGCAAATTCTTCAATTTGGAGAGTCACTGTCACTCGCCATAGCCTTTCGAATGGTATCATTTTTTAAATTCATGGATTCAAAATTTGTCCATCAGCGTATTCACGGCAGATAAAAAAATTTAACGTCATGTGTGTTTAATAATTCTCCGACAACAACAATATTCGTCGTCTTTAAAGTTGCATTCGGTCAGATCTGACTCTCGCGCGCTGTACTGATAAATTACCAGAATTTGGAAATACTTTTTACCTACAGCAATTAGATTCAAAAACACGGTTGCTCAAGAGAAACAGTAAGAATCACATTAAAAATAGATACCAAAATGATCCTGAATGAGGGGATATGCGCCTTATCTACACGTCTTTCTCGTGGCCGTTGAGCATTAGTCCAATATATTCTTCTGGCACCAACTACAGCTTTTCCAACAGATGAACCCAGTCGTGATTCGAGTTTCGAAACGTCGAAATTGTCCTGTTCTACATTTCATCTTTTAATACTGAATTACAAAAAAAAACTAGATCTTACAATGTGCTATCTACCGTACACAACCTAGCTACGTCAACCAATTCTATAATCGGATCCTATCTGTTTCCTCATCGGATTTGTCGACCTGAGGAGTTCTTACAAATAAAATTCGACTGTTGATACCGAAAGAAAAAGTAATGGATCACTTTAGTATTTTCGATGAATATATCGTATTGTTTCGGTTTTGATTATATTGTTCAATAAAGATCTGGTATCGGTTGACTTTTATTCTTGCCTTTCTATAATATTAACGATACGAACAAAAGAAAAGAAGAAAAGCGAAAAAATATTAGTAAAAAAAGATAAAGAGAGAACAAAACAAAACGACAAATCTGTACAAACACACACACACGAAGAGAGAAAATGAGTATGAAACTGTACACAGAATAATAAGAACTATAAGTCTGTAACGGAGGCACGCATTAATGTTGCTGGATTGGTAGACGATGGTGTCTTATGATGGTAACCATTCGATATTAAATTTGGTTTGGCGCTAACTATTGCCGGTGATTTATGCGAAACAGTTCCACGAGGATTTGATATAACCGAGTCAGTATCCGTACTTGAAGATGAAAAGGAGTTACATCGACCATTATGACGTCGATCAGGTGAAATAACAAGTGGAATAATACCACAGTAGCCATTCATGGAACGTGAATTAGCACTGCTGTTCGATGATGTTGATGAACTGGATGAGGATGAGCATGATGCTGCACTTGAAACAGCCGACGAGGAAGTGCTTTGGGTACGTGGTGGCGGAGTTGGCTTGCCTTTCTTATTCATACAAATA